TTAGTGGACATTATGACCGTGCCCCCACCCTTGTTCATAAACAAATCTGTTTAAATTCGGTGGTGAGGAAGCAGATAGTGCGGTAAATGCAAATGTCAGTCAATTACTACAGAGATGTGGTATTTGCACACTAGAATGTATATTTAACATTTACCTATTGTGACTGGTTAATAGATATGCTTTTGGTAATCTCACACAGAATCTAAGAAGATGTGAGGGAGATGTGACTGTGTGGGTGAGAGTTACTGGACATGTGTGTAGCAGTCTGGGAGGATGTTTGTAATCTATTGTGTAAAATAAGTGATTAATGTGACCAGGACTAGAGAGGGACAGAAATTCAACCTGGGTATTTAATAGAGCAACCCAATAGTAGGGGGCGAGACCAGAAAGGGTTTATATTGTGACTCGGACCTCCTACCCCACCAAAGTGGGCACATCAGCTTGGTACTCCTCTGTGGCAGCCTATGTGCAAAGCCCTGCTGAAGTGCTTTGGCAAGGAGGAAATTCAGAGAGGAGTTCTGAAACTGAGTTCCCTGGACCCATGCTGTGAGCAAGCTGTGTGTCAGTGTGTAAGCAGGATGTGGATTAGTGTGTGAGCAAGCTGTGTGTCAGTGTGTGAGCAAGCTGTGCTAGTGTGTAAGCAGGCTGTGTTAGTGTGTGTTCAGGCTGTCTGTGTGCAGACTGTGCGTTAGTGTGTAAGCAGCCTGTGTGTCAGTATGTGAGCAGGCTGTCTGTTTAGTATGTGAACAAGCTGTGTGTTTGTGTGTGTTCAGGTTGTGTGTCAATGTGTGTGTGAGCAGGTTGTGTGTCAGTGTGTGTTCAGGCAGTGTGTTAGTGTGTGCAGGATGTGTTAGTGTGCGTGCGGGCTGTGTGTCAGTGTGTGAGCGGTTTAACGAACGCTGGTATAGTAGATACCCTGTTCGCCTATTCCTCCCGAACTGCTGAGCCTGAGTGATTATAGCTGCAGTTCGGCTGTAGATTCAAATAGTTCCAGACGAATGCAGCTTCCAAGCTGGAACAGGGGGAAACCTCAGTGCTTCTGCCCCAGTCACCATGGCTTGACTGGGTTCTTCCTTGAGCCTCTCTGTCCTGTATCAGAATAGGGGACTAGCTCTTTTCACGCCAAGGGACTGGACGACACACCGTCCTGGGAGCTGTAGTCCTTACAACGACTTTCCCCTGCCGAATCCTTCACGAGCTGGAACAAGGTGCTGAGTAGTGAATAGCCCTTCCCCTCCCAGTAAATAGACGACACATAGCTCTGGGAGTACAAATGATCTTAATGAGCCAAACTCAGTCTTTTATGCTCGGACCCCAGCAGGGTGTCTCCATTGTATAAAGCACAAGCTCCCCCTGAGAGATAATTGCATTAAAGACCAGTAAACTGCCGTGGGATGATAACCCACTGTGCACTTAGGTGCCGGAGGGGTCTTCGTGGGTTTGCCTCGGACCCCCCCCCCGGCCCCTTGGCCCCCCCTCCTTCCTCCCGCCCTCTGGTGCGACTGTGTGTGTGCAGACTGTGTGTTAGTGTGTGAGCAGCCTGTGTGTCAGTGTGTGAGCAGGCTCTGTGTTAGTGTGTGAGCAGGCTGTCTGTTTAGTGTGTGAACCCTCTGTGTGTTAGTTTATTAGCAGGCTGTGTGTCAGTGTGTGAGTAAGTTGTGTGTCAGTGTGTACAGGCTGCATTAGTGTGTGTGTCAGTGTGTGTGCAGGCTGTGTGTCAGTGTGTGAGCAAGCTGTGTGTAAGTGTGTGAGAAGGCTGTGGATTAGTGTGTGGGCAGGCTGTGTGTCAGTGTGTGAGCAAGCAGTGTGTCAGTGTGTGAGCAAGCTGTGCTAGTGTGTAAGCCGGCTGCGTGTTAGTGTGTGAGCAAGCTGTGTGTCAGTGTGTGAGCAGGATGTAGATTACTGTGTGGGCAGGCTGTATGTCAGTGTGTGAGCAAGCTGTGTGTCAGTGTGTGAGCAGTCTGTGGATTAGTGTGTGGGCAGGCTGTGTGTCAGTGTGTGAGCAAGCTGTGTGTCAGTGTGCGAGCAAGCTGTGTATCAGTGTTAGCAAGCTGTGCTAGTGTGTAAGCAGGCTGTGTGTTAGTGTGTGAGCAAGCTGTGTGTCAGTGTTTAAGCAGGCTGTGAATTAGTGTGTGGGCAGGCTGTGTGTCAGTGTGCGAGCAAACTGCGTGTCAGTGTGCGAGCAAGCTGTGTGTCAGTGTTAGCAAGCTGTGCTAGCGTGTAAGCAGGCTGTGTGTTAGTGTGTGAGCAAGCTGTGTGTCAGTGTGTAAGCAGGATGTGGATTAGTGTGTGAGCAAGCTGTGTGTCAGTGTGTGAGCAAGCTGTGCTAGTGTGTAAGCAGGCTGTGTTAGTGTGTGTTCAGGCTGTGTGTGTGCAGACTGTGCGTTAGTGTGTAAGCAGCCTGTGTGTCAGTATGTGAGCAGGCTGTCTGTTTAGTATGTGAACAAGCTGTGTGTTTGTGTGTGTTCAGGCTGTGTGTCAATGTGTGTGTGAGCAGGTTGTGTGTCAGTTTGTGTTCAGGCAGTGTGTTAGTGTGTGCAGGATGTGTTAGTGTGCGTGCGGGCTGTGTGTCAGTGTGTGAGCGGTTTAACGAACGCTGGTATAGTAGATACCCTGTTCGCCTATTCCTCCCGAACTGCTGAGCCTGAGTGATTATAGCTGCAGTTCGGCTGTAGATTCAAATAGTTCCAGACGAATGCAGCATCCAAGTAGTTTCTCCCCAGCAAGTAGACATTTACCCAAACATGAGCCTAGACTTCATAAAGGGTACAACAGGAATGAATTTTAATGCTGCCACACTGGCTTTTATGCAAGTCCCCATGCAAAGGGCACTCCCACATGGACCTTGTGGGGGACAGGGACACAGAGGTTACAGCCAATAATATTACAGTGACAAAGTGTGACACTCCCAGTACAAACAGATAATTCCCTCCTCTCTGCCTGTGAGATAATAACTCAATTATCTCCAGGAGGAAAAACATATTTTCCCCAAAACTTAGAAAGTACCCTAAGACACATAACATCCCCATAAATGTCATATCCCCTGATAGCCCTGATCTGGGTGACCAACATATCCAAAAAAAATCACCTAGATCAGTTCAGAGGTTTTCGAATTTTATGGAAGTCCCATTTGTACCGACCACACTCGAGGCTCCTGCCTAGAAACAGTTCCATGAGTTTATCCTGTGCGGTCGGTCTATTTCGAAAAGTCATAAAAAGAATAAATGTACGAACGGAACCCCCTGGCTCATAGTAGCGATTGTTCCCCTGGTTTGTGGGAACCAAACTACGCTCTCCTGGCTGTTTGGGAAAAGGAAGCAGGCGTTCGTATACTCAGGGCCGGTGCAAGGATTTTTGCCACCCTAGGCAAAAGTAAAGTTTGCCGCCCCCCCCCCCCATGTGACATCACAATGCTCCACCCATATGATCTGCCATGTTAACTAACGCCAGTGCTGCAGTGCCGCCGTGTTTACATTATAAGGCATGCAGGGACAGGCTATAGACACCAGAACAACTACATTAAGCTGCAGTGGTTCTGGGACTATAGTGTTTTTTAATGTGAGGTAAATTAGAGATTAGTGCCACGAATAATATACTAGATTGCCTACTTACAACGAGATGAGGATGATGATGGGCTCTAGCTGCAGTCTGGCTCCACTGGTCTGGTGTAGAACAGGCTCTCTGGAGGCTGTTTGTAACCGTGGTCACAAAAATCAATGTTCTGGGAGAACGGTAAGCAGCTCCATTTTTTTGGGGGGCCCTTTACACAGCTCAAGGTCTGGGTCCCAGGGTCCACCTTCATGTTCCACCAATGAGTTTGTTCACAGGGGGGTGGAGTGTGTAGGGGATGTCCTGATATGTGTGTAAGGAATGCATTGTGTGAATCTGTGTTTGTATGTGTAAGGGCTGCAAGGTGTGTTTCTGTGTATGTACAGGATGCAGTGTGTGCGTGTGTGTGCGTGTGTAAGGGGTGCATTGAGTGTGTGTAAGGGGTGCATTGAGTGTGTGTAAGGAATGCATTGTGTGTTTGTGTGTGTGTAAGGGATGCATTGTTTGTAAGGGTTGCATTGTTTGTGTGTGTCTGTGTGTGTAATGCATTGTGTGTTTTTCTGTGTGCAAGGGGTGCATTGCATGTGTGTGTGATGGATGTCAATCTCTCCCCCCTCCCTTGTCACTCTCTTCTCCCCCCTCTCCCTCCCTTGTCACTCTCTTCTCCCCCCCCTCCCTTGTCACTCTCTTCTCCCCTCCCCCTTCCCACTCTCATTGCCCCTCCCTCCCCTGTCACTCTCACCCCCGTCAATTTCTTCTCCCCCCAGTCAATTTCTTCTTCTCCCCCCTCCCCTACCAATTTCTTCTCCTCCCACTTTCTTCTCCCCCTCCCCATTCTTCTTCTTCTTTCCACCCTCCCATTTCTTCTTCCCCTCCTACCAGTTTTCTTTCTCCCCCTCCCCTACCACTCTCCTCCTATTTCTTCTCCCTCCCTGACCAATCTTCCCTCCTTCCCACTCTTCTTTTTTGAGTCCTTCTTCCACCCCTCCCTCCCAGTTTCTTCTCCTCCTCACTTTCTTCTTCCCCCCCTCCTGACAATTCCTTTCTCCCTCCCCTTTTTCTCCCTTTCTTCTTCCCCTCCTGACAATTCCTTCTTTCCCCCTCCCAATTTCTTCTCCCCCCTCCCAATTTCTTCTCCCCTGACAATTTCTGTGTGGGGAGCGCTTCCCTCCTGTCAGCCCCTCTCCTCAGGCTGCGCCCGGGTGGTGCGGTCCGCCCTCATGGACGCACCGCCCGGGCAAAGCTGCAGCCGCCTGAGGCTCTCTGCAGAGCGCTCGGGCGGCTGCAGCATGAGCGGGCCGGCGCTCCTGGTGGCGCCCCCTCCAAAGGGGCGCCCTAGGCAGCTGCCTAGTCCGCCTTACAGGTAGCGCCGGCCCTGCGTATACTTTGACTGGTGTTCGGGAAGTCGAGTGTCCGATTTTAGTTCCAGACACTCGACGACCAAGTCCCGCTGCCTCCTTTTGTGCGAACAAGATGGCCGCCATTTTCTCTTGCACGTGGCGTTCGGTTATACGAATGGCGGCCATACAGAGAGAGCGCTTAATCAACTGTTTCCTTTGAAGATAATGAGCCAGGAGGGTTGGTCGGTGTTCGGTAGTTACAGCTACCGAACCAACAAAACATAAAAAGTCCCGAATGGCATAAAAAGTCCCGAATAGCATTGCTATTTTCTTCACAAGTTCGCTGTGTGTCAGTGTGTGAGCAGGCTATGTGTCAGTGTGTGTGCAGGCTGTGTGTCAGTGTGTGCAGGCTGTATGTCAGTGTGTGTGGGCTGTGTGTCAGTGTGTGAGCAGGCTGTGTGTTAGTGTGTGTTCAGGCAGTGTGTTAGTGTGTGCAGGATGTGTTAGTGTGTGTGTGGGCTGTGTGTCAGTGTGTGAGCAAGCTGTGTTTCAGTGTGTGTTTAGGAAGTGTGTTAGTGTGTGCAGGATGTGTTAGTGTGTGTGTGGGCTGTGTGTGGGCTGTGTGTCAGTGTGTGAGCAGGCTGTGTGTCAGTGTGTGAGCAGGCTATGTGTCAGTGTGTATGCAGGCTGTGTGACTGTATGTCATTGTGTGTGTGAGCTGTGTGTCAGTGTGTGAGCGGACTGTGTGTCAGTAGGCTGTGTTAGTGTGTGTGTGGGCTGTGTGTGCAGGCTATGTGTCAGTGTGAGCAGGCTGTGTGTCAATGTGTGGTGTCAATGTGTGAGCAAGTTGTGTGTTAGTGTGTGAGCAGGCTGTCTGTTTAGTGTGTGTTCAGACAGTGTGTCAGTGTGTGAGCCCGCTGTGTGTTAGTGAATTAACAGTCTGTGTGTGAGCAAGCTGTATGTCAGTATGTGAGCAAGCTGTGTTTCAGTGTGTGTTCGGGCAGTGTGTAGGCTGTGTGAGCAAGCTGTGTGCCAGTATGTGAGCAGGCTCTGTGAGTGTGTGTGCGGGCTGTGTGTCATTGTGTGTGTGAGCTGTGTGTCAGTGTGTGAGCGGATTGTGTGTCAGTAGACTGTGTTAGTGTGTGTGCGGGCTGTGTGTCACTGTGTGCGCAGGCTATGTGTCAGTGTGAGCAGCCTGTGTGTCAATGTGTGAGCAAGCTGTGTGTTAGTGTGTGAGCAGGCTGTCTGTTTAGTGTGTGTTCAGACAGTGTGTCAGTGTGTGAGCCTGCTGTGTGTTAGTAAATTACCAGGCTGTGTGTGAGCAAGCTGTATGTCAGTGTGTGAGCAAGCTGTATTTCAGTGTGTGTTCAGGCAGTGTGTCAGTGTGTGTGCAGCCTGTATGTCAATGTGTGAGCAGACTGTGTGTGTTCGGGCTTTTTGTCAGTGGGTGTGTAGGCTGTGTGTCAGTGTGTGCGCAGTTTATGTTTAAGTGTATGAGCAGGCTTCTTGTCAGTGTGTGCAGGCGGTGTGTTGGTGTGCAGGCTGTGTGTCAGTGTAAGAGCAGGCTGTGTGTCACTGTATGAGCAGGCTGTGTGTCAATGTGTAGGAGCAGGCTTCTTGTCAGTGTGTGCAGGCGGTGTGTTAGTGTATGACTAAGCTGTGTGTCAGGTGTGTGCGGGCTGTGTGTCGGTGTGTGCAGGCTGTGTATTTGTGTATCAGTAAATACACAGGAATCACACACTGACACGGTACCCGCACAATAAAAGCAGACAGCAGGAGGCGGGCTCACTCAGAGCCTTCTCGCCCTGCTATTGGCTGATCACCATAGGCCGGACCGCGCTCCGCCAATCGCTGCAGTCCCTGGCTCAGTAATGCAGCAGCAGCCTGCTCTCCCCATCCCAGGGAGTCTATTGTAAGGGAGCAGCAGCCAGCAGCGGCACAAAGGGCGCCCTCCCCGAGCTCACCTCCCCTCACACCGCGCACCATGAGCACCAACATCAGGTACAAGAGCAAGCTACTGAAGACAGGTGAGCTGCCAGCCTGGGGAGGGGGAGGGGGTGTAATGGGGGCTCGCTGTGTTCAGATCCCTGACCTGTCTGTTTCCTCTCCCCCACCTCCTCCTGGATCCCGTGCGGCCTCCTGGGACCTCCACAGACGAGAAAGAGGTAAGGACAGTGCCCTCCATGCTATCATCCTGTCTGCAGCCTAATCCGACACACAAGGGGTTAACACACTGACTATGAATTAAATGATAATTATACATACATGCACTCACATTACCAGCACCTACAATGTCACTGTCACACATCCATCACACGGGGATTAACCCCTTAATGCCTTCTAATACAGCAATCTGTCTACCAAAGGGTTAACTCCCCAATGACCAAACATACCCCTGGCCAAATACAAACAGTCATGCGGAGGAGATTAGCTTACTGGCTGTGGATTCATTATTCTGTGTTTCGCAGACCTTTGACACACACACACACACACACACACAAAAAATCAACCAAGATATAAAATAATGAAGTATTTTGATTTGAACCGATTCAGCACCATTTCCTGCAATAGACATGTTGGGATGAGGAGGATCGGTCTGTCCATGCTACGGGTGCTATGACCTCATTCTGAGGTTTTTCGGTGTATTCCTAATGACATATTGCATGGGAGAAGGCACGCTGACAGCTACATCAGGGTTTAACCCATACAGTCGCAACCATGATTTAATGTTCTAGCATCCTTATTCAGAAATGGATGACTGGCACTGATAATACACCCCCTACAGCTGGCATCCCTTCCTACTGTACAGTGCATGATTGCATCTAGAATAAACCTCCCCATTCTATAAATGGTATTAATGTGTGTGCCATGTGATACATAACATTCCAAATCCTATAGCTAACGGTACTGATGGACATACTCATTGATGTGAATCCATTTAATAAGGTATACAGTATACTGAATCCTCATTTTAATGTTGCCATGTATTTAGTATAATCTATACCGGTCCATATGTTTCAAGTGCTAAGTCATCTCTTGTTTTGGGCCTGATATCATTTGAATTCAATGTCTAACGCAATGCATATGTACATACTGGTGGGGAAATAGCTCAAAACCATTCATCATATGCAAGAATGTGGGCCCTTTAGCTATGTCACTCATTGCTAGAATAATAGATGGTATCAAAAAGAGGGGAAGTTTCATTGTGGAATGGGCTGAACTCCCTTTAGCAAATGCATTTCTTCTGTGGCTGATTAGTGTTTGTGTTGTCTCTGCAGGTAATGCGATGAATACTCAGGATGTCACAGGGGAACCTGTGGTTTTTTTTCTAGAATGTAAAATATATAATGGTAGAGGCGCCCTCTAAATATTCACAAGTAATGTGTGTTTTAATGTAATGTATCCCAGTATCCCAGATGATATAAACAGTCTGATCCAGGGAGTATTATGTGACCAAGTGAAAAAGGTTATTGCTGTCAAAGTTTGTTTTTGTACTTCTATATTTAAACCGCTTTATATATTATGCACGTTTTTTTATATATGTTTGCAGCATCCTTTCTGGTTCGCACATGTCATTTTTTGGCAGTTGCCTTGTTGCGTGCTATTCCCATCTGGCTAAATAACTCCACATTTGCCAAGCATCTCTTTATGAAGAGGTGGTTATTTCTGATCTGGGGAGGTACCCAGTGATGTCATTTTGTGACATCAGCTGGGAATTGAACTGTACCACAGAGAAACAACGTTTAACTGGTTTAGGAGTGGAAAAAGCAGTGGAGGAGTTGGAATAACAATGTGTAATGTGCTCGCAGGGCCCCTGTATGGTATGATAGCAAGCACTATACTACATGTTTTCTTTGCATAGTATTGCTTCCAGTTATTATTTGAAGAGCTTCTATTCCGCACCTTGCTTCTTTTTACAACTTTTATTCACACTTCATGTTTAATTTACCTTGGCAGTGCTTGTCTTCATTTTCCTGTTATGGTTTTGTACTTTCCATGAGAGATCCTTTCTGGCCGATGGATAAATTTGGCATGTGAATGTCAACGATTCAGGCTGTATTATTGCTTTTTTTCATGAGGTCCAATTTGACAGGGAATACAGTGATGAGCCCCCATACCATTTACTTATTTGCAGATGACATCATTAATAAAAACTGCAATTTAAGGCTTTTATATTCTAGAAAAATGACTCTTTATGTCAAGAACCGGGTGGTTCGAAACACGTAAGGAAGATTTTTTGACTTTTGTATTCCTCTGTTTGTTTATGTACCTTGTGGAATAAACCTTTCCGTTTGGATTTTGAACATTTGCTTTTCCTGGCATTATTTTTTTGCTTTTCCTTTTATATTCTAGACAAATGTTAGCATAACGGATTACACACCTTCATGGAACCCAGAAGGTTATGTTTCCTTGGTTAAGTAAAGTTTGAGCTGGTTGTCTTTACATTTAGCCACTAACTTCATGCTTTAGATTTCCACTGTTATCGACTGGTAAATAGTGAATTATAGAACAAGAGAAATTACCACCGCATGCAGTTTCTAACTCATTCAACTTTACGCCTACTGTAGTAACTGCAAATTCCCATTATATGCTACAGGAAAAACAGACAATTATTCTATATTTGAGTACATTTAAAGAAAAACTTCAAGCACCATAACCACTACAGAACACGGTAGTGGTTATGGTGTCAGAAGTGCCGTGGTCCTCCCCACACTTCAGACAGTCAAGCTTCCATTAGTAATGACAGAGAACTGGAAGCTCTATGTCTGAGTAGGCCTGGTGGTGCAGGGCTTAGCTCATTGGCTAAAAACAATTTCACTACTTACAATGGATGGGCACCAGGGCACTCCTTTCACCAAAATTATGGAGCTAGAAGTGTATCTTTAAGTACTAAAGCCTACCTAACAGCATTTTCATTAATACCTGAGAAATGTTGCTTGTCAGGTGTATTAAAAGTGCATTGGGGTTTATTCACTAAACAGAGAATTGTAGTGAATTAAATCCAAATTGTACATTTTAGGCTAAAATTGTGGAGCTATAACGCAGTCTTTTGCCAAATTCAGCAAACCATGCTAAAGTGGTTTGACATTGTACTGTGGGACAGCGCCAAGGCTCTCCTAGCACCGTAACCACTACAGCAGCCTGTACCTGGTTATGGTCCAGGGAGTGTTCTTGGCCTGGGAACATTAATAAAGGGACACTATAGTCACCAGAACAACTACAGCTTATTGAATTTGTTCTGGTGAGTAGAATCATTACCGTCAGGCTTTTTGCTGTAAACGCAGTCTTTTCAGAGAAAATGCAGTGTTTACATTACAGCCTAGTGACAACTTCACTGGCCACTCCTCAGATGGCTGTTAGAGATCCTTCCTGGGTCATGGCTGCCTAAAATGCATCCAAACATTCAGTGTCTTCTCCCCCTGCATGCAGACACGGAATTTTCCTCATAGAGATTCATTGATTCAATTCATCTATATGAGGAGATGCTGATTGGCCTGGGCTGTGTTTGAATCATGCTGGCTCTACCCCTGATCTGCCTCTTTGTCAGTCTCAGCCAATCCTATCGGGAAACACTGTGATTGGATCAGGCCACCACTTCTAAACGATGTCAGCAGACTGCTTGTTTTTCTGAGGCAAACAGCATGCAGAGTTACAGCTTCACGCTTGAATACAGTAAGATTTTGCTATATTCATAGAGGCATGAGGGGCTGAGGGGGGCTGGATGGTGATTTTAACACTATAGGGTCAGGAATACATGTTTGTGTTCCTGACCCTATAGTGATCCTTTAATGTTCCGTGGAACATTTTGGAAGTTTGTCATACATTTTATATAATACATTATTAGTGTATTGCTAATGGGTAATAAAAAAAAAATAGTCAGGGTTAAACAGTGATAATAAATAAGTTGATATCTGTAAATAATACAGTAAAGATGCATATCGTAGATGATAGGAGCAACAGGACATGTCTTCATGCTCTGAGTTAAAGATGGCAAAAGATGATAATGAAAGCTTATAAATTAACTGGTGTGATTCTGAACAAAAACAACTATAGGTTATTTTAGGTCAGAAGGAAGGGATGTGTAGACAAAGTACAGTGGATTATTTTTGCTATTATATGATGAGTTTTTATATCTCTGTAAAACAAGGCAGTGGTGTGTTTAGATGTGCTGCACCTTCCCATCACTGGTGTGTTGGAGTGGCTGTTCCTGATGATCTGGCCTGTGAATGTTGTTGATCCAGCAGGGTTGCATAGCTTCTCATTCTGTGTCACTCTGACACCTTTCGTGCAGCTGGCTAACACCTAGTTAAGAAAGGCTGTGCTGGGACACGTACAAGAGGGAGCCCTAAGTCACACTGGTAGATTCACTTTATTATCTTATGGGAAGAAGATTTATTGCCTGTTAGTAGAAATGACTATTTTTGACATTTTTGTGAAATTGACAATGCTGCAACACATGGCGTGTGAGTATAGTTACAATTTATAATCTTTTATGGTTTTCCAGCTCACATAGATCATTTTAAGACACAGATAATTTTAAGCCTGCAAAGTTCATGACACAACAGACATGACCCCACTAACATGCATACAGTGACCACATAGCCAATTATTCTTATTAAACTAAACATAGTCACATGCAGACACACACCCTGCTTTGGCACATTAAAGCAGGTGTGTCAAACTACATTCCAAATATGAAAAAGAGTGTACACTTTAAAGAAGAAGTATGATTTAAGCTTAAAAAGTTTTTTGTTTTTTTTAGTAAAATTATTGCGCTATGACATAATTGCGGTCAGTTGAAAGCTTTGGGATTTTCAAGGCAGAAGCAGCCCATTCCACTGAAAATGTGGCTGTCTAGTATTTATAAACCAAGCATATATTCTTAACAAAACACCTAAAAGGAGTACTATAGCATTAGGAATAGTGATGTCCCGAACGATTCGCCACGAACGGTTCGCCACGGACTCATCATTGAGTAAACTTTGACCCTGTACCTCACAGTCAGCAGACACATTCCAGCCAATCAGCAGCAGACCCTCCCACCTCCTGGACAGCATCCATTTTGAAGCTTCATTCTTAGTGAGCTGTCCAGGAGGTGGGAGGGTCTGGGAGGGAGGGTCTGCTGCTGATTGGCTGGAATGTGTCTGCTGATTGTGAGGTACAGGGTCAAAGTTTACTCAATGATGAGTCCGCGGCGAACCGTTCGGGACATCACTAATTAGGAATGCAAATGTGTATTCCGCACTCCATAGTGCCCATTAGGTCCACTGCTCCCACATGTAGATAGTAAAAAAAGTTTATTTACCTTACAGTGCCAGTCTCCGAGCTGCAGTCCTTGGCTCAATGATCTCAGCCAAACCAACGCTTTCCCATAGGAAAGCAATGGGAGGCTTGTGTAATTGCACAGTCTGGGCCTATCAGATGGTCTCTATGAGACTAAAATATCAGAATTTTACTGTATTTCGTTGGAAGCATCGCTAGTGACTGTCTGAATCTTAGTGAAAGCCAATGGAGGCATTTAAACCGTGCAATAAAAACATTACCATTCTGCAGAATGTTAAAAGGTGAGGGGGTGGGGAGGGGAGATGAGGGCATGCTACCCAAAGCACTTTATTGAGATAAAGTGGTCTGGGTTCCTATAGTGTTCCTTTTTTACCCTAGTGTTAAGTATTCATATGTTGTTTCTCATAAATACAAGTATATCTTGTGAACATCTGTAACCCCAAATTACATGGTCATTGTGTATCGTACGAGGTGGGAGTCCAGTATTATCTGAGTATTGTGCTTTTCCACACTCAAAAGATTTTAGGTAACATGCAGTCACATATCTGACTGACTTGTGTTTTAAAAACTTCTGGTATGACCAATGTCTTATTACAAGTGAAAAACAATGTTTTACGTTTCAAGATCTATAAACTAGTGACTGTGTAGAAATGTCTCTGTGACATCATTAGAAAATATTAGAAAATACAAACATTAAAATAGTCACATTTCAAGTTTTAGCTGCAAATCCCCAGCAATTAACAGCTTGTTGATTGTCAGTACATGAAAATGCTGCCCTTTTTTGTAAACTGTATATATTGTGTCTTATATAGAGTGTCTCCGTTTATTTATTATCTTTTATCTATTATTCATTAAAAGTTAAGTTTTAACTCCTTTCTGCCTAATACGAACTGGTCAGTGCTTCTCTGTTTTGCTCTTGTTTTGTAATAATGGATCATGTATGTATTGCAGGATTCCTGATTGATTTATCACCTGATTTACTACCTGCAGTATGTGACTGCTAAATAGTGCAAGGCAGCAATTTCTGTATGTTGCCCGTCAATATGTATAAATTATATGTGTACTGAAAAACTTGAAGAATATGGTATCCCTTTTTATGGGATGTAATTGTAATTCAAAAGCTACCTTTCTTCAGAAGATCACTGGCAATGGAACAACAATGACCAGAAGCCCCTACTGTTTCCTGAAATTAGCGCTGTGCAGAGATTTATGGGATATGCTTAAAACTTGAATAAAAAGTTAAAAGGGCATTTTTGGCTGCATCACTTGCTGCACTTGACAGAGCTTGCTGCAGACGATGCAAAGCGTGGGGATTTGCAGCAAATGCAGAATTTTAAAACTTGGATTTTTAAAAAATAATTATAAATATGATCACTTTAAATATGGTTTGGAATTTTTTGAATAATGCATTCAAAAATGAGTGTTGAGTTTGGGGTCACTTTAATGTCAGTATAATATATTTCTGGTAGCACTATCAGAATGTTAATTGGCTCCAATTAATGCATAGCTTGATTAACTACTGAAGTCAGCAGTTATAGTGCCGTGAGTTGACAGAAAGTCAGTGTGGCATCAGCAGTGCCCGCAAATAAAATGAACAGTCCAATGGTGAAAATAAACATATACATTTTTACTGTTAGAATTAAATGCCAAAAAAACTCAAATGTAACCAGTGCTGGGAGAGTCTCCTCAGTGCAGTTACTTCAAGAAGCCTGTCTCAAGTGATTCTCTCTAAGATAAGCATTGGTTGCATTTGTTATCACAAATTCACAATGCTTTGACTGATGATGCAGAACGTAAAGACCTTTGAAAATTGATGGTCTTCAGTGAGCAAGCCACTAGGGGCATGATTTTGGGAAGATGTAAACATTGACGATGTATCAGAAACTACAGTGTTTTACATTAGCAGACAGAAGGGGCAATATCTTTACCCACTTCTCTAAGGTGAAGTGGTTTTGGTGCTTACACTGTTCCTTCAATAGTCTGATTATGCCAGAGTGTCTTTGAGAAAGACAGCCGCTAAAGAAATAGTATTGTTTATTAAAAGGCAGTTTATATATGGAGACTATATTTAAAAGAAGAAAAACTACCATAACAAGAGGACATAGTCTTAAATTAGAGGGACAAAGGTTTAAAAATAATATCAGGAAGTATTACTTTACTGAGAGGGTAGTGGATGCATGGAATAGCCTTCCAGCTGAAGTGGTAGAGGTTAACACAGTAAAGGAGTTTAAGCACGCGTGGGATATGCATAAGGCTATCCTAACTATAAGATAAGGCCAGGGACTAATGAAAGTATTTAGAAAATTGGGCAGACTAGATGGGCCGAATGGTTCTTATCTGCCGTCACATTCTATGTTTCTAAATTTCTATGTTTTATTGTTCCAGGAACCAGGCTGGAGGCATCCATTAGTTTATCCCTATATGTTCCTATGCTGATCACTGACTAGAACTTGATTTACAGATGTACTATGATTGAAAGCATCGAGCATCCAGTCAGAATACAGCACAATTCTAGTGCGTTATTCTTGTTTCCTCCAGTTCTGCAGCTTTCCCTGAAGTGCATGGCTTCGTGCTGTACTAAAATTATGACAGGCATTTAAATTCAAATGGAAATGTGTCTCATGGTGCTATTTCATATAAAATCCATTCATACTAAAGTGTTACTAACCTTTTAAATAGCCGTAACATTTACATAACAATACATTGAAAATAGGACACAGTAGAAAAACCAGAATAACAACAGAGAGACAATCTAACAGTATGTAGTAATTGTCTCAAAAAACAAACAACCAACCAAAACATGACAGATCCCCTTTAAGAATGTCTTGCACCCAAACGGACGTTGCACTACTAGATTATAGCTTCAGGGTTTTTTAAGCTATTCCTACAATCATGCATTACATTTAAATGTGTTTGAGGTGCAACACTGCAAGTCATAGGGCTTCATAGAAAAAATAAATAAAAACCTGATATTTTTTTCCCTGGAGGATGTGAGATGAATTGAATATAACCTCTGCAGTCACATATATTTTGAATGTGTGTACATAGCTTTATGTGGCTTCTATAAATTGCAGTTTTAAAGCAAGTGGGCTATCTGGAATATCATCCTATTATCAACAGAAACTGAAAATTATGGTGATTATCTGAAAATGGTGGATATTCAAAGGTGGCCTTGCTATCAGAAGAATTATTGGGGCCTCTTACAAAACCACCATTGGCTGGGCCCTCCTTATACATGCTAGCAGAAACAACACACACACACTTTCACAGAAACATACACACAGATACACGTTCCCAGTCTTGGACATTCCCATACTCACAGATAAACACTAGCACATACAGAAAAATAATTCAACAAACACACTTAGATACACATACATACATACATACAAACACAGGTACACACTGCCACGTACATTTACACACACATACATACTGCTACACATATACACAAAGTGATAAAAACTACTACACCAAGATTTACGCTACCACACACAAATAAATACTGCCACACAGACACAAAATTATTATACCCAGTTAAGCTATATCTTAGCCACACTCATCTTTGTTTACCTTTGTGCTAAAGGAGGGTGGCTTCCCTGGATCCAGTGGGGCAGGGACCTGCTCAGACTCACATTCAGAATGCAATATTTATATCTGTCCAACCAGATTCCTTAGCGCTCTGCTTGTTGGCCACACTGGGCCCCATACACATGTATGGCTTAACCCAATGATGCAGATGTTTAGGGGTGTATAATTTTTTTGTTTATTTTTAAATGTATTGCAGTGAATTATTTATTGGCATCCATAATATCAAGATTAACTGTTGCTATTTGCCTTGCTTATATCTGTGCTGAGTCTCTCTGTCTCTTTAACAAATCTTGGGTCATACTTTCTGTTTGTTGGTGCACGCATTGCTGAAAAGATATTATGCTTTGATTGCACAAAACTAAATTAAAGACTAATATCTTATGTGTTATTTATTATTGCTGTTAAGCTTTTCTTTTTGCGGTTGACTGTAGTGAATAATTGCTCTCACGCCCCATTTCTAAAAGACCACAGTGTAAATTGAAACAGAGGAACAAATTAGAGGGTGCACTAAGTACTGCTAATGAATGGCAGAAAGGAAAAACTTTCTTGCTGATGTTATTTCACATAATCTCATTCCTTATGAGGTTTTTAAAACAGGTCATGTAAACTGTAATGAAACTGGAGAATTTTGGATCCTTCCTACTGACAGGTGCTGCTTCTATAGTCCTTGTACTACTGTTTTCCCTCATAGGAAATTAGTGATATTGTTATATTGTAATACAGTCCATCAAGTTCAGCGTTTTTAACACGTTTCTTTCTGCTGTTGAGCCACAAAACAAAAATCCTTTCCCCTGCCATAGGCAAAATCTACTTTTTTAAAGTCGAAGGGCTTTTTTTTGTGTTGCCTGTAGGTATCTGATGTAAGCTCTTGTAATTAACAACAGCCAAAAGATATTAGCGTCCACAAATTACGGATGACTTTCTAAACTTGTGGTTGTTCTTTAGTGGCCTACTGATAGTAATCACCACATAGCAATTACCACCTTTGTGAGTACTGAAAAAAAGTGCATGCAACAATAATTTGCCATATCAACAACCTAAACTAGACAAAGTTGTCTGTTTCAGTGTTGCAGCAGAGGACAGTGTATTGTGGCACTGAGAGGCATAGATCCCAATAATACTGGATAGGGGATGAAGAGTAATAACGTGGCCCAAGACAATGAGGAGATCCCAGTCTCAGTAGCAATAAAACTCAACGCTGAGTTTTTTTTTAGCAGTATAGTTCAGTTTGGAGTGTGGAGGGTGGAGGAATGGAAATACAAGGGGATTAAGGAATGGTAATATGTGATGCTTGGGGATGTGTGGGTCAAAGTGGGGTGTCAGTATTTGGGGTAAGTGGAGGGCAGTAGTTGGAGGGTCGGATACTACTGTGTGTGTCTTTTGGATACATCAAACTCATACATTCTCAACTCCCTTGCAATGGGATTCTTCAGAGAGTACAGTAAGCTGTAGCATTGCCATTCATGAGTTGAGTAAAAACATAAACGATATGTCATATCTATAATCAGGTTTTATAAATGTGGTCCACAGAACCTTTAAGGCCATGCATTGCGTGTGTAACAAATGAACTTATATTATTGCTTCTGCCAGTCTGATTTCTTCAACAGATGATAGTGATTCTATAAGGTTAGATTGTGTAGAGCTTTTCCATTGGAGGGGTATTAATGTTTTTGTTGTGTTAATGAGGCAGATATTGTGATCTTATAATATTGTTCCATTGACAGCACATTAATATGCATCATGCCGCTGGTTTAAATGCAGGGCTCGTGATGTGGGAAATAATTAAATGTATTGGTATCCAAAAAAGAAACAATCAGTAAGTCCACAAGATATAGCAGAACGTGCCCCTGCCACTTTGTTTCTGACAGCTGCAGTGGGTCCTTTGTATGGCCAAAACCACCTGGACAATAATGTTGCAGATGTTTTCTGGATCCACGAGGAGATGGAGCAATGTTGGCTGGGGGTACAGATTTTTACCCATCGGATGTCCGTAAAGACTGTTTTGTAGTGGCTGTCCTATATGTTGTATGGAAAAAACTTAGGAGTCAGTGGTAGTGGAACTGTACTATGAAAGGTATATTTGTCATTTTTATCTGACGTTGTAATTGGCGTAGCTTACCCTGGAGTGGAGTTGGTTGTGTGCTTTAAGTTTAAAGACCTGTGGTGGGTGTTCTAGGCCAGTCCATGAGATGCAGGCATAACAAGGTAAGTAGGTATTGATATAATTCAAGGAAAGTAGAGGAAAAAAGATAGTACTGAATGAGACGTTATTGCTGACATGTCTATTTTATTTTGCTGAGTAGGCCATATTTTGCTGAATTCTTCTACAATGTGTTCATCTGCATATGCTGCAATTTTATGTTCCCAAGCGGGAGTGGAAATGCTGTGTATGGAATGGTGTCTGTAGAAGGCCTTCAGAAGGGAACAAATTTTATACAGAAGTGAGAAAAAGTTGGAGAATTAATTAGTGTATTTTGACCTGACATTTGTAGTCCACTTCATCATTCTGTCATTTACCACAGTAACCCATTTAACTGACAGTTTTCATTCATTTGTACAAGTGGTTCTCCTTCATTTCTTGCAATAAATTAAATAATTCCTGTAAATGTTTTGCACATGTAAGTGACCCTTATCATAAATTAGTGGTTGCTATTAAGTAACAGTATACGCATGTTAATATTTACAAATTTTCCTAAAAAAACTATTGAATGGCAGGTATAGATCCATCAGCCAAGGTGTAGGAAAAAAAATAAAAGGACTAAGGATAGGATTTATTAAAACTTAAAGGAACCATGTAGGCAAACTGACCACGTTATCTCAATGAATGCATTAACCCTGCAGCTGAAAACAGTGAGGCTCTAGCAAAGTAAAACTCTATTTCAGGCAGATGGTCTCAAAGAAAAGCATTGGATTGGCTGAGATCCTCAGCCAAGGAGATGGGGCCAGACAAGGGGAAACAAGGTGACAAGGTGCGTTAAATCCTGAGAAGTTAACGTTTAACCCTTGGGGGGCGGGGGGGTGGATGTCACCTATTCCTAGTGTTACATTTACTGTAATTATTTAAAGGAATACTATAGTGGCAGGAATACAAAGCTGCTAAAGGGTCAGTGCACCCAGACCACTTCAATGAGCTGAAGTGGTCTGGGTGCCTTTCGTGTCCCTTTAAAATATCTATCTATCAAGAAAGTGTTTCACAAAGAATAATCCGTTATATAGTCAAAGAGTGTAAATGTAACAAGTTGCACCTGGGAAAACTATAGAGGAATAAATGGGTACAGCCACAGAGGGGAGTACAGCCACAGAGGGGAGTACAGCCACAGAGAGGAGTAGGATAGGTATTTAGTAATCAAACTTTACTGTCTTCCCGAAGACAGGAAGAAAGATATTACACCTATAATAATACCATTCTAATCTACCCCTGGATGGTGGGCTAAGGTAACATCCCCAGGACGTACTTGAAAACCAGAGTAATCTAAATGTACCTTTCCTGGTTAAATACTTTGTTATTATTTGTTATTATTATTAATCTGTGTCCCTACTCGTGCTTTTGAGGGCACCTAACTAAAGTAAAGGAGCAACCCTAAGCTACATTATGATAAGCTGCACCCTCAGTTTACACATCATTTACCCTACTCTATGTTTTACACGTAAGAATATCTTGATATTATAATCTAAAAAAAGTGTACTGAATCAGACATGTGATATATTCTACCAGCTAATTTTTTCTGTTATACCTTTTGCAATGTTCATCCGTGAAATTTGCAAAGCACTACAAAAATTAAGAATGATAAAAAAAAACAGCCACTCCTGATTCCCCAGGCTTGCTCGTGGCTGCGGCTTTACCTGACCGGCGGCCATTTTAGGTAAGCCTTTTGGGCCTCGCTTGGGCTGTCATGCTTCTATGGTTGCTGTGCCACCTGCGGGGACCCGGATATACCCCCCCCCTGTTCAGGGGACGGGTGAGTTGCGTGGCACCCACAGTCTCAGGCTGGAAGAACGGCCGTTTCCTCCCTCCGTGGGACCCGCCTGACGGGCAGGCCGCTGGAGCTGCAGCTGCAGCACCCCAGTCAATAGAGCTAGTAGTGTGGAACAATTTCCTTTCTCTGCTGTCACAGAGAAGCATTTGATTGGACTGTTTTCACATTTGATCTGAGACGGGAAGAAGAGGGAGTGTGGATGGATATAAAGAATAACTGTCAATGCAGGGAAGGGACTTACAAGCTTCCCTTTGCAAGGGTGCAGTTCGCTGTCATGACAGATGTAATTTTTGCACAGAATTAAAATTAGGCAGCCTGGAACAGAGTTTTGGACTGCTTACGTCACAAGTGCTGGGGGTGTAACTAGCCACGGCACAAAAGTGCAAATATTTCTGTATGTACAGCGTTTCAATCAGAAAACTGCACATACAGATTGCTACCACCATGAACACTTCCATAGACAGAAGTGGTCCAGGATGTTGGAGTAACCCTTTAAACAATAAATCAGAAGCATACAATATCAAACCCTATCACTGCTCAAAAAATAAAATACGGCAAAAAAAATGAGAGCCCTCTCTCGTATTTCACCCAGCTCTTTATGTTTGAAAATCAGATAAGGTGTGACAGATCCCTGAAAAGGGGACAATTTTAGACATACTTTTTAGGTATTATATATTTACATTTATCTGTATGGAATCAATACTACAGAACACAAGTTTGGAGCGTCAAAGCCAATATTCTGTAGCTAAGCTGGAAAAAGCTATATCCACTGGCTCGTTCACTCAAATGAGAACAACTTTTACTTGATTAAATAAAATAAACACATAATTTTTTCTTTGTGAAACGAACCTAAAATAATTATATTGTGGCAAAATAAATTCATCATCACTATTAATACTAAGAGTTAACATACTAGTTCCTCGTTCATCATAAGAAACCTTAAAAACTATTTTTAGATCCCTCATTTGAGCACAAAACTGAATGAATAAATAAAAAATAAAGATGATGGGGTGCTTGTTTCCACTATGTAGGTTTCCTTTCTGCATCTCTTACCCTCCTCTGATAATAATGGTGTTGTTCATTTGCAGTGCACTGGGGTCCTCCAGCCAGGTTTTCACCCCAGAGATAGCTACATGAATGACTGCCTTTTCTCATAGGTCTCCACATGCATTAGCACGTCCCCAGCACCTGGCCTGAGCTCTGAGGGCGCATTGTGTCTGGCTTCTGTGTGTCGATGCTTGCAGCTGCGCTCTGTCACATGCAGTGCCTGTCACCCCAAGCCCTCTATGGACCAATAGATTTACTTTGTGAGCCATTTGGAATCATCTTCAAACACTTCTTTTATTTTGGTGTAAAACCCTCCATTTACTCTATTACTTGCTTTTTAAAAAATATTTTTTATTATTAGGTTCAAAAATGTATTCAGGAAGAAAGCAAGCTTCCCAGATCTACTTTTTTTTTAGCAAGTCCAAAGTAAATTATAGAGGGATTTGGGATTTAATACTCCTTGTTTACATAGTCACAACACAAGCTCAGACGCACTGCTTCCTGTTAAAAGCTAAGTTATTTTATAAATATAGCATTGGACTATTAGAGTGTTTAGCAGCACGAATGCTAGAACAAATTGCTGCTCACCCCCTCACACTCAAAGGGTTAATTTCCACTGTTACATGTAACAGCAATTGCCACCAGCACAAGTAGAGAGGTAACTGCAAGGAAGTTAAAGGAACACTATAGTCACCTAAATTACTTTAGCTAAATAAAGCAGTTTTAGTGTATAGATCATTCCCTTGCAATTTCACTGCTCAATTCACTGCCATTTAGGAGTTAACCCCTTCACGCCGTTACGGCGTTCTATGCCGTCGTGGCTTTAATGGGCTTTAAAGCCGTTTCGGCGGCATAGAACGCCGTAATGGCTTTCTGCCCCAGAGGACCAGCGGTACTTACCTCCGCCGCGATCCTCTTCTGGAGGGCTACCAGACCGCCCAGGCAGCCCTCCTCCGGTGAATGAGGCCCCCGGGGGCCATGTGATCGCTCTCAGAGCTGGCTATGGATCTGCCAGCAGGGGGGCTGTCTGAAATAGCAGACAGTCCCCTTGCTGGTGGGAAAGTGTAAAAAAAAATAATAAACATGTTATAATATAAATTCAATATATTTTTATATATATAATATATGTGTATATATAATATATATAATATATATACACATATTATATATATATAACGTCATACGTAATGTATTTTAATATTAATATAAGTATATATTAATATTAAAATACACTTAGAATGACCTTACATATATATAATATGTATATTTAATATATATATATAATAGATATATACACATATATTATATATATATATATACGTATAATTACAATAATAAATAAATTAAATAATAAAATAAATAAATAAAATATTGAAACAAAATTTAATATAAATTATATATTCATATGTAATTTCATTCTAACTGTATTTTGTTATTAATATATATACATTGGTAACAAAGTACACTTTGAATGACATTCTATATATAGCTATCTATATATAAAATACAAATAACCGCAAATAAATATATATAGATAAATACATATAATTACATAAAAGATTACATTAGTATACACGTAGAATTTAAATACCTATAAATGCATATATATTAAAATTCTACGTGTACATTTAAGTAATCTTTTAACATAATTATGTGATTTGATTAATTAAAATTTGATTGACATGCCTGACAACACAGGGAGAAAGTGCAGAGAATTTAATTCGCAAGCACTATATTTGACCCTGTAACTCTCCAAGACTCCATAAAACCTGTACATAGGGGGTGCTGTTTTACTCGGGAGACTTCGCTGAACTTAAATATTACTGTTTAAAACTGGTAAATTGTATTACAACGATGATATTTTAAGTAAAAGTGACTTTTTTTGCATTTTTTACAAACGAATGTCATGTTTATGGACTATATTATTGTTGTAATATGTTTTACTGTTTTAAAACACTAATATTTGTGTTTAGTGAAGTCTCCCGAGAATAACAGTACCCCCCATGTACAGGTTTTATGGTGTTTTGGAAAGTTAGAGAGTCACATATAAGGCTTGCATTTCATTTTGTTGACATTGAAATGTTGCCTTTGAGACCGTATAGTAGCCCAGGAATAAGAATTACCCCCATGATGGCATACCATTTGCAAAAGTAGACAACCCAAGGTATTGCAAATGGGGTATGTCCAGTCATTTTTAGTAGCCACTTAGTCACAAACACTGGTCAAATATTAGTTTTTTTCTTTTTTCACAAAAAAACTAATATGAACGCTAACTTTGGCCAGTGTTTGTGACTAAGTGGCTACTAAAAAAGACTAAACATACCCCACGTTCAATACCTTGGGTTGTCTACTTTTTCAAATGGTATGCCATTATGGGGGTAATTCTCATTCCTGGGCTACCACACCGTCTCAAAGGTAATATTACTAATGTGGCAAATTTCAATGTGAAAATGGAACGTTCTATATTTGACCCTGTAACTTTCCAAAACACCATAAAACCTGATAATAGGGGGTTACTGTTGTACTCGTGAGACATTGCTGATTACAAATATGTGCATTTTCTTAACAGTTAACAGTATTATGACATTTACAGCTAAAATGTGAGGCGGAACTACAAATAAAAAAAAAAAAATTACATTTCTCACAGTTTTTTAAATTTTATTCATAAATTATGTTTCATATATAAATATTTGATATGAAATGAAAGCCCTGTTTCTCCTGAACAAAATGATATATAATAAGTGTGGGTGCATTTACTATGAAAGAGTTGAATTACGGTTGGACAGACATGTAGCGCAAATGCCAGGTTTTGTTTACATTTTGTTTTGTTCACAACGTGAACATTTGGCTCCGTCCTTAAGGGGTTAAATCACTTTGTTTCTGTTTATGCAGCCCTAGCCACACCTCCCCTGGCTATGATTGACAGAGCCTGCATGAAAAAAAATACTGGTTTCACTTTCAAACAGATGTAATTTACCTTAAATAATTATATCTCAATCTCTAAATTGAACTTTAATCACATACAGGAGGCTCTTGCAGGGTCTAGCAAGCTATTAACATAGCAGGGGATAAGAAAATCTTAATTTAACAGAACTTGCAACATAGAAAGCCTAAATAGGGCTCTCTTTACAGGAAGTGTTTATGGTAGGCTGTGCAAGTCACATGCAGGGAGGTGTGACTAGGGTCATAAACAAAGGGATTTAACTCCTAAATGGCAGAGGATTGAGCAGTGAGGCTGTAGGGGCATGTTCTATACACCAAAACTGCTTCATTAAGCTAAAGTTGTTCAGGTGACTATAGTGTTTCTTTAAGGTGAAAATGTGCCCGAATGTTGTAGGTTCAATTTATCTGCTCACTGATTAGTGGAGCATTAGATATGTGTATCAGGTGTGACATCATATGACATCATAAAGCAGCTTTCACAAGCTTTAGTCATATCATGGCACAAGAGTCGTTAACACACCCTTGGGTGTATTTACAATGGGAGTAAGCTATTCTTGTAAATAAAGTAATTTAATGTTCCATCTTGCACTGCACAAGCAGACTGCTGCCAGGTGCCAGTTCTATAGGATGGTTTCCATTGTGGGGTCTCCCATATGCTTCATTTGCACAGATGCTAATTCACTGCTGCTTTTACCATATTGGATTAACGTGGTGATGTTAACGATTTTTACCATGGGATTTGCTGTCTAATGCGGTACATTATCAGATGGGCCTTTTTAGATCTTTGCTGGGTTTTATTTTTAGAATTTCATTGTATGTCACCTTCTAGGGTTTTCGCATATTGTCTAAAACACAGTGTAACAAGTGAAAAAAGTGCAAACCTAGCGCTGCAAACTGTGGGAAAGAAAGGTGCTGCTACCAAGTGTTCAGTGAGTCAGTCCACACAACACAGAATAGAGTGTAAACCCAAATAAACAAATAAATCTGTGAAAGCACACAATAAATGATTTTTTTTAACCAATCAGTTTTTATTGAGATAATAAAGTGTATGGGGTACAGAAGGAAAAAAGGATAACATTCGGGGTTATACAGATCAGATATGGCCGTATACATTACATCCCGTCTCAAGGCTCTTATCAGTCACCTTAGTTAGAGAGTAAGGGTAACTAGTAACTTTTAGCCAACTGTAACATGCCCTACATTAAAGCCCTTGTGGGAGAAGGCTTTTAGTTGTGGGCTGCCTTCCTGGTGGAACGCTCTCCTTGTTTCATGTTATCTCGCATTTATGCAGAAGTGTAAGCTACTTATATAGTTGAAGGGTGTTTGGTCAGCGTAGGTCGGGGGTCAGGTCGGTGTCGTGGCGGAAATTCTCTCCATTTTGTCAAGTTGGGAAGGTGTCCCCTAGCTAATGGACCAATCCAGTGGTCAGGCGCTGAAGTGCCAGTGGCTGAAGAGGACCTGCAGGAGGAAGATGGTGGTGCCCACAAGGGATTGGTTCAGTTAAGTAGAACTCACCTTTACCTGCCGGACCACCAGTGGAGACGTCACCATTGGGGGTCTTGCATTCTGCAAAGTCCCTCGAAAGTGACAGCGCTTTAAAATAATGTAGCTCTGTATAATGTATTGTCTAAAACCCCCCCCCCAAAAAAACAAAAACATCTAATCACCGAATCCAACATATAAACTTTGTTAAAGTGTCTACATCAGGGCAATGAATGTCTATATGATATATTTATTTGACAAAGAAATTACATATTTTAACTATGGAAATTCAGGAAAATCAGTTATTTTTTAAATTATTTTTCACAGTGCAAATTTAATTTGTTGTTATTGTCCTCTCTATTAGTGACATTATTTTGGACCCTTTAGATTCAGGCTGGTTTTGTGTGTTCTGCTATAGTGATGTTGTGTCAGATGTTTTATTGACATTTGGCCGCCTGCCTATCCAACCACCAGATTTATGGAGGTGCCTTTAACGCTCTTACTCAAGGGTGTGCCCAAATGCCTGAGGTTAGGGTGGCACCTGCAGCTCCCCCAACAACAATACTTTCCAGGCTAATTCCCATGCATCTTCGAAAGCCAAGTGAAACCACTGTGAGGTGCATTGTTTGATGTAATGTTAAAGTAACGTGAATTTCTGACACTGTGATCCAGTTCATGTTCCCAGGCTCTCTATCTCAAAATAAGACCGTGTCCTCTCATTTGATGCTGTATTGTGCTGCAATGTACATGGTTCACAATATAGCGCTAACTTCTGCTCCTAATGAACTGTGAAAATGTTCATTAATAAAATGCTCTATACAGGATTTTCCTAATTTGAACAGTACCAGCATGTGAAGGATGGCTCCTTATTTTCCCTGCTTTCCATTTAGCCCCTCTACCTTTGATCTCTTACAGACAGCGGGGTATGATGGTATCAGAAGTGGTTTGACATTGGGCACCCATGAGGGGCGTCCCCAGTCCCTCTCTATGGTAAGATGACCTTTACCCCCTGTCCCTGTCGCCCTAGGTCAGTGTAATGTCCCAGGCAGTTTTCTTACTGTCTGCAAACTATATCCTTTCCTACTTTCCTGAACTTGTTCCTTTCCTTTTAGTGTGTAATGCTGCATTGTGTCTAGCTTTAGTAAACTCACTGCCTTTCCCTTTTCTCTGCATGAAGTGCACAGCCCCTTTACCATGTTTCCTATAACAGGACACCCTCCTTAAAGTGGGGGAGATGCACCAAGAAATATCAAGCTGGAGAGATTTTACTTTAATATGACAATGTACCCCCCAGTAACAACACTAAATGTGGGTTTTCACAATTCTCACGCAATGCTAACCAGCGCTTACAAAACCGTCGTTATTTTATTTTATCACTCAGCAGGCTTCTTTTACAGTGACGGCTGGTTCGTTTGATTATCACTTATATCACTGACATATTCCGCAGCGCTTTGCAATTCCACAGGAGTATATATAACATCAAGTAATTGGCAGACAAAACAATGTTGTCAGATAGCAGCAAGCTGTGCGTTAAATGGGAAGCCAACGCAACATAATCACTATATGTCATTGTAGTGGTTATGGAGCACTTAAGCTACAAGACCCTATCTCAGTCAAACTGATTTCACACAGTTTGGACAAAACCAATGGTCAATATCACTTTTATCCAGTGGACACACTCAGCCAATCACTGCCATCCAAACATAGATGAAATTGATATTACTTACAGTGATTGAGATTACATCATTAGCAGTTCTAATAAGCGGGAGCCTGGACACTGGGGTCTTGGGGATCAATGTTTTGGCTGAACTTCTCAAAAATGGTTTAAACAATGGCTGAAGGAGATCATAGCCTTTTATCACCATAACCTTGACCGGATTCCCCATAAAGCCACCAAGACCAGGGCCTCAGGGCATATTAAACTATGGATGTTCTGCATCAGGTCACAGGGGGGAGCAACTTCCTCTCACTAGAGAAGGCATCTGCCTACTAGTGCTGGAGCCACTGCAAGTGCCTGCTCTTCAGATTCAAATTGGCAGACCTCATGGGCAACAGAGGAGCTGCTAGCATCAGTCTGTGTTTTGAACAGCTCTTTACTAATCCCAGGAGCCAGGAAGCAACATCTCCCTAGTGTCACTACAGAGCACAAACAAATCCCAGCAGCAAACCAATGAACACCAGGCATTTAAATACAAATCAAATGTGTGTGTATAAATATGCCTGTATCCCCCTATACACCTTATGCTACAGCCCGCATCGCACTAAACACAAATTATCGCTCCTATCCACAAACAGCCACTATTCACATGCACACATATACTACATTGCAAACAGCCTCTCCCTCACAAATACACACAACCCCACAACAGCCTCACTCCCAAACATGCAACTCTACAAGCAACCCCCCCACCCCCCACATGCACAACCTCACACACACTCAACCCCATAAGCAACATTCGCAGAAACATGTAACACCAGAAGTAGCCTACCCTCACACAGGCACTTGAAGCAGCCACACCCCACACACATGCAAACCATACACGTAGCGTCCTCACTAACATGAAACACAACAAAAAAGCCTCACCCCACAAGCAGCCTCTACACATACAAACACATTCACCATCCAGTCATACCCCAGTCCAGTCATATTTACCTGTCCAGTCACATACACCATACTGTTTGCATATAGGTACACCGAACAAAATTATAAATGCAACACTTTTATTTTTGCCCCCATTTTTCATGAACTGAACTCAAAGAGTTTTGTATGTACACAAAAGGCCTATTTCACTCAAATATTGTTCACAAATCTGTCTAAATCTGTGTTAGTGAGCACTTCTCCTTTGCCAAGATAATCCATCCACCTCACTGGTGTGGCATATCAAGATGCTGATTAGACAATTTGATTATTGCAAAGGTGTGCCTTAGCCTGGCCACAATAAAAGGCCACTCTAAAATGTGCAGTTTTTTAACACAGCACAATGCCCACAGATGTTGCAAGTTTTGAGGGAGCGTGCAATTGGCATGCTGACTGCAGGAATGTCCACCAGAGCTGTTGCCCGTGAATTGAATGTTCATTTCTCTACCATAAGCCATCTCCAAAGGCGTTTCAGAGAATTTGGCAGTACATCCAACCAGTCTCACAACCGCAGAGCACGTGTAACCACACCAGCCCAGGCCCCCCACATCCAGCATCTTCACCTCCAAGATCGTCTGAGACTAACAATCAGTTTGCATAACCAAAGAATTTCTGTACAAACTGTCAGAAACCATCTCAGGGAAGCTAATCTGCATGCTCGTCGTCCTCATCGGGGTCTCAACTTGACTGCAGTTCGTCGTCGTAACTGACTTGAGTGGGAAAATGCTCACATTTGATGGCGTCTGGCACTTTGGAGAGGTGTTCTCCTCATGGATGAATCCTGGTTTTCACTGTAGATGGCAGATAGCATGTATGGCATCGTGTGGGTGAGCGGTTTGCTGATGTCAGCGTTGTGGGTCAAGTGGCCCATGGTGATGGTGAGGTTATGGTATGGGCAGGCGTATGTTATAGACAATGAACACTGGTGCATTTTATTGATGGCCATTCATCCACGACCATTACCTCATGTTGCAGCATGATAATGCCCAGCCCCATGTTGCAAGGATCTGTACACAATTCCTGGAAGCTGAAAACATCCCAGTTCTTGCATGGTCAGCATACCGGACATGTCACCCACTGAGCATTTTTGGGATGCTCTGGATCGGCGTATATGACAGCGTGTTCCAGGTCCTGCCAATATCCAGCAACTTCGCACAGCCATTGAACAGGAGTAGACCAACATTCCACAGACCACAATCAACAACCTGATCAACTCTATGCGAAGGAGATATGTTGCACTGTGTGAGGCAAATGGTGGTCACACCAGATACTGACTGGTTTTTGGACCCCCCCAATACAGTAAAACTGCACATTTTAGAGTGGCCTTTTATTGTGGCCAGCCTAAGGCACACCTGTGCAATAATAATGCTGTCTAATCAGCATCTTGATATGCCTCACCTGCGAGGTGGACGGATTATCTCTGCAAAGGAGAAGTGCTCACTAACACAGATTTAGACAGATTTGTGAACAATATTTGAGAGAAACAGACCTTTTGTGTACATGGAAAAAGTCTTAGATCTTTGAGTTCAGCTCATGAAAAATGGGGCAAAAACAAAAGTGTTACGTTTATAATTTTGTTCAGTGTAAATATGAAGGTGGCCTATGCATTTAGGAAACTAGCCTTGGGAGAAGCAAGGAGGGTAAAGCTGACTGCGACCATAACCATTGCATTAGTATTTTGTGCACCTTTAACTCCTTGGTAAGAGCAGAAAGTGACAACGCCTCCCCTCTAATTCAAGTAAATTAACTAATATGCTGCTCTGCAATATCTGCATAACAAAATAAATATAAAAGTGTTTCAGACACACTAACACTGTTATGTCTTCTTAATATACAATACTTTTTTTAAAACTGACAACTTTGTAAGTCTAAAAGATTGTGTCCATAACTCTCCTAGAATACCTTGCAAAATATGCAAATTGATATAGACCAACATTTTCATTTTTCAGAATTCCAGCCCACATTTATGTGAACTCCTTGGACAATGCTCTGTTGTGCTATGCAAAAAACCTTTAGAACATGTATTGAATATAATGGAATAATAACAGGACAAAACTGCATTTATGGAGTGATGGGACCATTCATACCATGCTTTAGTGCATCTCCCCTTTCACACCTTGCGTGCTTCATCTTCCTTTAACCTATGTTCTGTGAACTTTAATATGTTAATCTATTAAAACAAACTTATATATATATCTGTCCTCCAATCAATGTTCACCAAACTGTGTTCCAAACAGGGTATGAGGGCCAGACCTGCTTTTATTTGGTCTAGCATATCTCTACAATGTAACCTTCTTCACATTCTTTTCTAACTTTTCCACAGTGACCTTTGTGTTAAGCTATGGTACATGAATCAAGGTCTGTTAATGGCTTTGTTTATGCATTACCCTAACGATGACATTACTATATTATTATTATTGCCATTTATATAGCGCCAACAGATTCCGTAGCGCTTTACAATATTATGAGAGGGGGGATTTTACTATAAATAGGACAATTACAAGAAAACTTACAGGAACAATAGGTTGAAGAGGACCCTGCTCAAACAAACTTACAGTTTGTGGGAGGTTGTGTATAAAACATATTAGGACAGGAAACAGCAATCAAATAAGGTGGGAGTTTAGCAGAGCTGGAGGAGAGAGTAAAGTGCTGCCCTTTAAGAGAGAGCAAGAGACAGGTATGTGAGGTAGAGGTTACACTGAGAGACCATAAGCTTTCCTATATAACAATACCATTGCCATGGTTTAAAATAGATTGTGCGATGTACATTATCTACTTTCGTATACATCTGCAATATTTACATATGCTTGTATATATAAACATTATTATAGCAAGCACATACAAGCATAGTCTGATGCAATAGGCTGGGAAACATATATACAAGAAACATAAATATTTATAGATTTATTCAACAAATCGTAACTAGTCTGGTGTGCTACTGAATGGCTAGATGCTATAAATGTGCTGTATTAAGCAAAAAGCATTGTTAGTGGAGTTGGTGGGCTTTAATATCTGCTCAGGGTAAGCAAGCATATCCCTAAAATAGATGCTGTAGACTTTGTAATGATGACACTATCAGGCATACTTGGAGAGGCCTTCTCTGTAGTTACAATAGTGCAATACACAGACCTTTGCTGCCCTCTGGTGTCCATTAAGGGGTTAATTCACAAATGGAGATTGTACAGAATAAAGAATGAATTACACTTTTCAGGTCAAACAGGTTTATTTAATACAGTGAGAATTGTCAGGAATACACAGTGAATTTCAAGTGTAAGGCCATGTTAGCTGATTTGGACAATTTCGACAAACCAGATATGCTTCCAGTTTGGCTTCTTTTTCGCAACATTTAAACTTTTAAAACAGAGTAAAATTTTACTTTTAATCCAACGGGTCTGCCCATCCTCCCCTTTTTTGCTGAGATCATCAGAATTAATAATCTCAGCAAATCCAATGCTTTCCCATATTAAATCAAATGCGCACATGCGGCAAAACTCTGCACTGCGCCATCAAGAACTAATTGAATTCAGGCAAATAAGGTACACTAAATGCAGGGGGGTGACCCCTAGTGGAACAAAAAAATTAATGAAATTATTTTTTTACTGCGCCATCAATGCATCTCTAGAAATGCATCTTTATGGGGAGCATTCAGCGCATCCATGCAGACGCTGAACAGGAAGCACCTCTAGTGGTCGTATGAGTAACTGCCACTAGGCTGTAATGTAAACACTGTCCTTTCTCTGAAAAAGCAGTGTTTACATGAAAATGTGTGCAGGGACATTACGCTGTAGTTGTTCTAGTGATAATAGGGTCCCTTTAAGCTGAGTTGGAGACTTTTTTCCAGCTTGGTTGTTTGCCTATAATTTACTATTCCATATGGTTTGCCATAATTTCCAAATCCATGAATAAAATCGGCATATACACCACTATGGACGTTTCTATCCTTCTTAAACTGTAAACATTTTTACATTATTGTCAAACTCAAAACAGAGTGCTTCCCTATCATTCTTTTAAAGTTCCTTTTTACTTAGATACAAGGATGTGTAAAACTCAGGGGAGGGAGGATGAACGAGCACATTGTATTTTATGTGGGAGGAAGTCCATATTAATGTATATTCATGTGAGACATTGTAATGTTAGTATAAGGACAGTTTACAATGACACATTGTTTCAAAATTCACTCCAGTCTCCTGGACATATATTTAAAACGAATGGCCAAATATTGTTTTTTGGTTTGAAGGGGCATTCTAAACACCACAACCACTGCAGTCCGTTATACTGGGTATGGTTCTAAGTGTAAAGTGCCTATTATAGTTGTGTACTAAAGCAGCATTGATTTTGGATATTTGTGTTTTTCCTATCGTAAGTGGCAGTACTGCAAACAATTGGGTAGTCACTTCCTTAAGTGAAGCTCTGCAAATTAAAATAATTAAATTAATTCCCTCCTCCCTGCCTATAAAAGGCCACACCTCCAAGATATCCCCAGTTCTTCTTGTCCTCTGGGACAGACAAGTAGCTCAATTCAAGGCTGGTGAGGCTCACAGGATGACGCCTGGGGGAACAGTACCCGAAAGCTCCTCGGGTGGTTAAGCTGAGTGGCCTCCTTCCACATCGCGTTATGGAGCAAAAGTGGAAGGTAGATTTTATGCCGGTTAATGCTTGTAGTATGTCCCGGGCGGCCCTCCAATCCCGATGCAAGGGTGGACAAAATATTTATTACATTTCTTAATCTTAATACCCATACCCCTTTGCTAGGATAAAGGGCACTACATCCTTAAAATGTATTTTCACAAGTTAACTTAAATAATAGTGCAAATAGTTTAATATTTTTTGTCTAAGCAAATCTATCTGGATTTGTCTCCTGAAGATCTGTTAATATTTTACTTGTGGTTATCTTTAAGGTGATGAGTTCCCAACATTGGGTGGTGTGAAAGTGGGACAATGGGTGGGTGATGGAAACCCTAGGGAGTGTGAAGCATTGAGAATAGCTGATGGCACAATGAGGGGTAGGCATTGGCGAAAAAGGTGTAAGTATCAGCCTGAACGGATGCCATGCTGATTGTCAGTCGTGCTGGCCAGCACCCTTTAGAATTGCATGCACAAGGCAATGTTGAAGTATGCTGGTTATGAGTGAGTCAAATGATGTTTCCTGGTTTTCCCAGGAGTTATATATAGTAAATCAAACCCAAACTGACAGGGCAAGGGCCCAAAACTGGGAGGTTGGCAGGTATGCAATTATTTCACAATCCTCTACATTCTCAAAATTAATGATAACAACTAAAACTGCAGAGAACATGTGATAGCAGCAGCCAGTAACATTTTATGTTTTGCATATTAGCTCCCAGCTTTCCCCTCTGCAGGACATAGTGTCCCAAATGTCAAAAGCCAGCTACAAATATTGTATTTAATTGCATAAAAAAAGCTTCTGAACAAATTGGTTTCAGACAGTTTTTAAAATTCCATATGATGTTCCATAGAGTTTATGGAGTCACTTTAAGGTTCAAGAAAACATCCAAAAATCCGAAGGTCATGCGATTTAACTTTTTTATTTTTTGGAAATATGCCTATTTTCCCTTCTACTCTATTCCTTATTCATCATAGAAAGGATCTATCAAAGTATCCCAAATTTTTTTAACATACTAAACATGCGAACCCATACATACTTGGAAAATATATGCCATAGAACAGGGGTGCCCAAAGATAGATCTCTAGATGTTGTAGAACTACAACTCCCATGATGCTTTGCATGCCTTTAAAAAGCTTTAGAATGACAAAGCATCATGGAAACTGTAGTTTTAAAACATCTGGGGATCTACCTTTTGGGCACCCCTGCCATAGGAGCTTCGTGCATCAGAAAATATGGTATAGCTACATAATAAGTAAATACCATGTCCATGTATATGTTTCTAAAACCATTACATTAAAAGATGTCAAAATAACAATGGCAGCAGTGTACTCAGTAGTACAATGTTCCAATAAGATGAGAGAGCTTCACATTCCAATGTTGATGTATGATGAAAAGTGTGCTCTGATTTATTTTTATTTATAAATTATTAGTCCCTTCCTGCTTTATTAGTTTCTAAATGTATGGGGATAATGTGAACTGTAGTTGCACAATGATCTCTACCTTGTTTATTGAAAATGTTTCCAGTTTAAACAGTCTTCAATAAACATTATCTGATATGTTAGTGCAGCTATCCTATTATATTGCAGCTCACTCTGCTGGCAGCATAGTTAACTGTTTCAGTGCTGATTATGGCTGCACACTAAGGGGTTAATGACTTCCTTCCTTCTTTCTATCACTCTGATTAACCCAGTGTATAAACTCCAAGTTCTTTCCAATGGAAAGCTACAGGAAATTCCAGAGTAGTGGCTGGGAAGGGCAACGAAATATGCTCATATGCACACACACACCCACACACACACACATACAGACAGACAGACATATGGATGTAGTCAACTGTGGGAGGGGAGGGATGTGTGTGTGTTTGGTGACTACTGTGAGAACAGCCGCTGCTTGTGGGTATGGATGCCATCATAATTCAGGAACTTTTGGCTGAGAGACTGTTAACTCCCAGAACTCTGACCCAGAGAAAGTACCCAATGAAACTCAAGGTAATCTGCTGGAAAATAGGTGCAAAATAGTAATATGGGAAACAGGAAGGGGGACCGAGAAATGTTACTATGGACATACAAAGCATTTATATATTAATGGTTGTACATAGTGAATTACTGACTCTGGTATGGTGGTATGCTGCTGATCTTCTCATCGCAGTCGTGTCTGTGCCATGCAAGTCTTTGAACAGAAAACAGATTTACATGGCACTTGTGGCACACTGTAGAGTTAATAAATTACAGAAAGAGAGGGAGTGTTTACAAATGGAGGAAGGAGCCCGGAAAGAATAAATAGGAAAGGACGAGAGAAGGAGAAGTTTCAGAAAGAATGCATGATCAGATTTTTTGGCACTCTAGAAGCTTAGCATTTTTTTTTTAATTCTGTTTTTATAGAATGACATTATTGCAAAAACAGACAAAGGGGAATTGCAAATGAAGAGTGAGGGGGATGAGGGCTGGCTAGTTAGAGCCTGGTACAGAATTGGGCAAAGCTACATAATTACTTGTATTTGTAAGTTTAGTTCAACGTTACTGTTAAAGGTACAGATAGGGTATGCATGTCTTGTATGGGATCTTGTGTTGGTTGTCATTGTATATATACAGGCTTTGAATACCCACATAGGTATGCATCATAAAATATATTTCTATAGTAGAATCTTAAAATGTATCAAATAGAAGAGGCAAAACAGTGGGTGTTGTAGAAGCCTTACAAACCATTAAATTCCTAAATAGAGAGACAATCATTTGAAAAAAAAGTTCCAAAGTAAAATTTTATTAGCTTTAACATAAAGAGTAGTTGATCGTAAAGCATCCCCTCGGCAGATGTGGAATGAGAAAACTGTTAAATATTTTTTCCCCAAAATATTCAGCATACACATTCACACACACGGTCCCTCCTAAAATACATCTTACTATAGAAGGACAAGAAGCCAGACCACGGGGCCCACATTTTTCTTACCTGTGGATGTAATCGTTGCTTCTGTGTTATTTATGACATAAACCTATAATCTAATTGGTAACTTTTGTTATTCATTAAAATTTGAATTGTCTGGAATTTAAAGAAAATTCTATATGTTCTAGCTTAAATGTGAAATTCACTTTTAATTCCTCACGATTCACACTTTATTCACACAGACTTCCATTGAATAAAATTAAATTCATAAAAAGATTGGCTATTTTCTAAATTCTATTTCTATCTAAAATAACATTTTATAATAATTGTTGTTGAAAGTTACAAAAATGGTTTGTACTTAAATTTATATGCTGTATTAAAAATACTGATCTTTTAAGTCTTTATAAGCTGCCCTATAAGAAAAAAAATATATAAATTATTTAGCTTAACCCTTTAAGTGCTTGAATGCTGAATGTGCAGTGCCAGACGTTAATACTCCCTGCCCCCAACCATGAAAGGGTTACACATGTTAACTCAAGTACTTGTAATACAATACCCTTGTTCCCCACATTAGGCCATGGGAAGTATGTATGCTGAGTGTCCTTGACAAGCTTTCTTTCTTGTAAAATGTATCCAATGTATCCATAATTTTATCAGCTGTGAGTGTTGCATAAAAGAATCATTTGTTAAACATTGTGCCTATGGAAACCTTGAAAACATTGTCTCCAGTTTATTAGATTCACTGGATTAGATACAATGCAATCTAAGATGACCATGGGTTGGGGGCCAATCACTATCATGGACATTTCTGAGTTATGGTTCATGGGGTTATAGGTTCAATACAGCAGGCTCGTTTACCATATCCTCCTAGTATGTATTCCCAATTGGAGATTTCTACATAGCCAGATGGTATGACTCAATCTGTTTAATTATACATTTTATTAGTATATGGTAAGTTGTCGCTACTATTAATTCCAGTAACAGATTGCTGGTCTGGGTAGTTGCCTGGAATAAATAATCTGTTATTTCTAGTACTTTAAGAAAAAAAGCTCAACAACAACATTGTACATGAAAACCACTTTGTGACTTCTCACCATCACCGTACATTTGTCTACCAGGGTGGTCTATAGAATCACATATTAGTCTCTGACCCAGTGTTTGTGTAGGATGTGAAGCAAATCCCTAAATGTTTAAGTCATTAGGATGGCCTTGTGATTAGAAATGTCTTATAGAAAGTTTGAATATAAAATGCTGCACATGGCTTGTGTTGGTACTTTGCATCATCTGCTTAATAGTAATTTTGTTTAAAGGGACAATATAGGCACCAAAACAACTTTAGCGTAATGAAGCGGTTTTGGTGTCTAGATCATATCCCTGCATCTCATTGCTCACTTATATCCCTTTATATTAAAACAAAATAGAAGATATCTAACTAATTTTACATTACTGGACAGGTCAAACAAGATCTTCCTTTTCCCTTTACAGTGCCAGATTGTATTCTGGTATCTCATGTATAGACATCTCAGATATTTATTGGATGCTGACACCACATGGTTTCAACATATTTATTTTATTTTGTTATCAGTAGCTGTATAAAATGTTCACAAGACTTTAACGCAATTTCTGCATTGCCACTACAACACTAAAACATTTCAAGTGTTTAAGTGGTAATTCACACTATCTGACCGTTTTGTATTTTTTCATTTTGGGTAGATATATTCGAGAAGAGGTACAATCAGATTTTAGCGCAACCTACTTTATAAAAATACTATTTCCTATGTACTATATGGCGTAAAGGGTCTGCTAGAATCTAGTGTTTGCTGCCTGATGGCATCTAGTTCTGTATTATTTCCCTTTGTCCTGTCTTATAAAGACTTATATGATAGTTTCTGGACAATGTACTTTCTGGTCCTACACACAAACATACATATATTAGAACCAAAACAAAGCAGATGATCTGCAATTCTTCCATTGTCACTTCTAAATTGAGAAAATTTGCATTTTAGATTTCAGTTTGCCTGTGTGTAGAGCAGTGAAAGCATTTTGTGACTTGTTCTGATTCTTTTTAGAAGTGGTTGAAAATCACTAGAAATGGTTACCGGTAACTGGATTTGTTACACCCTGTCAAGCAAATGTAGTTCTACAGCCAAGAAAATGTTTTGGATACATTTCACATTTTCTGTGTACCAAACAAAGTGCTTGTTAGTTTGTATAGTACCAGGCTTCCCCAAACTCCGGCCCTCCAGATGTTGCTGAACTACAACTCCCATGATTCTAAGCCTATCTTTTTCATTCATAGAATCATGGGAGTTGTAGTTCAGCAACATTTGGAGGGCCAGAGTTTTGGGAAGTCTGGTATAGACAAAGAAAATTTTTTCTGTAGGTTCAAGTCTGTCTAATTTGCCATTTTCACTATCTCTCATAGGACCAAGAAAAGCAGTATGTTGGGTTTGCCACACTACCCAATCAGGTTCACCGAAAGTCTGTGAAGAAAGGGTTTGACTTTACACTCATGGTGGCCGGTGAGACAAATTGCCTAATATACTTAAAACAGCACTGCTGTGACAATGATTAGGAGCAATATATATATAGACCAGTTGTATACTTGTGAAATCTATTACATTTTAGCTGTTATAATTGTAATTTAATGCTGTTTTGTATGTCAATGCAGGAGAATCCGGCCTTGGAAAATCTACGTTAGTGAACAGTCTATTTCTCACAGATCTTTACAAGGACAGGAAGTTGCTAAATGCAGAAGGTAAACAAACCCCCTCTACAAATTATAGATAATTTAATCCATTTGTTTATTTGTATTTTATTTATTACCCACTTCTCTCTGTTTTGTCCCCAAATATGTGTTTGTGAACATTGTAAAGCAAGCATGTCAAGCTCAAAGACTAGCATTGGCCAAATAAACAAGGTTTATATTTATGTGGGCCGGAAAAAAAAAAAAAACTTAAATTTTCATAGAAACGTAGGTTGTTTTTTTTTAAAAGTAAAGTATAAAAAAAAAAACAGCATCCCCCTCTACTAAACCCCAATCCCCCCCTATACTAAATCCCAGTCCCTTCCCTCTAATAAATCCCTGCACCCCCCACTACTTAATCCCTGCACCCCCCCCTCTACTAAACCCCAGCCCTTGTTTTAAAAAAAACAACAAACAATATTAGCCAACAAGCAGACTCCACTCACATTGCCGCTGCCAGTATGCGACTCTGGAGTCCAGCCTCTCGTAAACCCCCAATGGCGCTGTCCACACCCTGTGCCAAAGCGGATCCTCCCGCTACTCCTTGAAACCCTGTGAAGGTGGAACATGTTGACATCACGTTGGAATGTGACATGGCGTTACGTGCCTCCGTGCACATCTAGGTCCTCCACTGTCCAGCCGTGGCCATCGCAACACTGACCAACACACACTCACTGATAGACACACACACAGTCAGACAGACACACTCACTGACAGACACACACAATCACTAACAGACACACTCACTGACATACATACACACACACTCACTCTCTGACAGACACACACACTCACTGACTGACATACACACAGACACACACACACTGACAGACACACACACACTCACTGACAGACACACTCACTGACCGACACACTCACTCACACACTGACAGACACACACACTGAGAGATACACACACTCACTCTCTGACAGACACTCATTTACTGACTGACAGACACACACACTCACTGACAGACACACAGTCACACTCACTGACAGACACACACTCTCTGACAGACACACACAGACAGACACAGACACACACACACACACACTCACTCTGTGACAGACACACACACACTCACTGACTGACATACACACAGACAGACACACACTCACTCACTGACAGACACACACACTCACTCACTGACAGACACACACACTGAGAGATACACACACTTACTCTTACACGCACACTCATTCATTCACAGACTGACAGACACACACACTCTCTGACAGACACACACATTTACTCACTGACAGACACACTCACTGCCTGATAGAGACTTACTGACTGACAGACACACACACTGACAGACACACACTCACTGACAGACACACACACACTCACTGAAGGACTCACACACTAACAGACACACACACTCACTCACTAACAGACACACACAATGACAGACACACACACACACACACACACACTCACTCACTCACTCACTGACAGACACACACACGCATTCTCTGACAGACACACACACACTCACTGACTGACTGACAGACACACACACACTGACAGACACACATGCTCTGACAGACACACATACACTCTCGCTCACTGACAGACACAGACTGACAGACACATTGACAGACACACTCACTGACAGACAGACACACACACTCACTCTCTGACAGACACACACACTCACTGACATACACACAGACACACACACTCACTGACAGACACACTCACTGACCGACACACACACACACTCACTGACAGACACACACACTGAGAGATACACACACTCACTCTCTGACAGACACACAAACTCACTCATTCACTGACTGACAGACACACACACTCACTGACAGACACACAGTCTCACTGACAGACACACACACTCTCTGACAGACACACACACACACTCTCTGACAGACAGACACACACACATTAACTAACAGACACACTTACTGACAGACACACACACTCACTCTCTGACAGACAGACAGACACACACTCACTGACTGACATGCACACAGACAGACACACTCACTGACAGACACACACACTCACTCACTGACAGACACACACACTGAGAGATACACACACTTACTCTTACACACACACTCACTCATTCACAGAATGACTGACAAACACTCACTCACTAACAGACACACACAATGACAGACAGACACACTCACTCACTCACTGACAGACACACACACGCATTCACTGACAGACACACACACACATTCTCTGACTGACTGACAGAGACACACACACTGACAGACACACACACTCTGACAGACACACATACACTCTCGCTCACTGACAGACACACACTGACAGACACATTGACAGACACACTTACTGACAGACACACACACACTTACTGATAGACACACACTTACACATTCTTGCACACACTCACATCATTTTATTTATTGTTCCCTACCTTTGGGAGCTTCTTTTTGGAGATATCCCTCCTGCTCCTCACTGCTCCCTCATGCGCGCAGGTTAGTGATGCTGGGCTGGAATAACGTCATATTCCGGCATCACTACAGACAGCGCGCATGAGGAAGCAGTGAGGAGCAGGAAGACTGAGCTCCCTCGCTTCTGCCCGTGGACCGTGAGTTTGACATGCTTGTTGTAAAGTGTCTTGGGGCGAATGGAGATTGGTTCAAAAATTGTTCAACTTGTATTAAATTTTTTTCTGAAAAGTGTTATTTTTCCTTCTATATTACAACAGATCTGTGGGCCTCCAGTTATGTCTTACTAAGCAATACTACTTTGTGAATGTTCACCATGCATGTACTTTGCCTCTTTTTTTACTCCAAAATAAAAGTGGCATATAAGAACAATGGCATATCTCTAAAATAAAATAATTTTCTGCTGCAAAAACTCCAAAATGTATATCTTAACAGACAAATTAATTTCCTTTCAGTTGTGATATAAAAGATAAAATCTGTCCCAGCAGGGGAGTTGTAAACACCCATAATGCAATGCTTCTGCACACTGCTCTCTCTCCAGCTCTAGAGCTGTTCTTGGTCCCCATTTGTTCTCTCTTTATACTGCCTCTCTTGGCAAACGTATTAATTCCTTTGGATTCCGCCATCTGGGATGACACCCATATATATCTCTCCTCCCCTAATCACTCCCCTGCTTCCCTTCAACATGTCAATGCTTGCCTTTCTTCCATATCTATTTGCCCTCCCACTTCCTGAAACACAATCTTTCTAAAACTGAGCTTCCTACTTTTAATCTTTATAATACTGTTCCTCCTCTTTCGCTTTCCCTGCAAGTTAATGTTACCTGCATTGGCCCATCCTTGCAAGCTTGCTGTCCTGGTGTTATCTTTGATTCTGACCTCCCCTTTACAACTCATTTCTAGTCTGTTGCCCAATCCTTCTGATTCCACCTTAAAAACATTGCCCGCGTCCGCCCCCTTCTACTGCTAAGGAGCTTGTTCATGCTCTAGTAATTTTTTGCATGGATCATTGTAATTCTCTCCTAATTGTTCTCCCCAGAAACCGTACAGCCTTGCTACAGTTTGTAATGGAAGCTGCTGCCATGTCGCTCCTTTTACACTTCGCCCTTCTGTCAATCCTTACAAAGGCTTCATTTGCCCTACAATAGTCAATTCAAAATACTAACCCTTACCTTTAAAGCTATAAACAACTCTACATTTCATCACTAATTTGTAGATACGCCCCTCCTCAGTTTCTCTGCTCTGCCGGTGTCCTTCTCCTGTCCGCTGCTCACACCCTTACACCCAACTCATGCTTGCAAGACACTTTGCTAGCATCTTCTTTCCTTTGGAAGAGCTTCCTATCCCCAGTCTAGTCTTCAATCCTTTTAGGGGTCCCTCAAAACCTACCTCTTCAGAAAAGCTTATGGCCGACCAGAGTAACTTCTATCTCACAAACCTGCCTCTTGCTCTCTTAAAGGGCCATACTCCACTGTAATCTTCCAGTTCTGCTACTTTCCCACCTTGTTTCTTAGTTGCTATTTCTTTGATGAAATTAGTGATTCATATGAAAAGCTAAAATCACCAGTTTACGGTGGAAAAATCCCAAATCTGACCTTTCCCAGATTCTTGTGGCCGAACCCTCATTCAAGGTATTCTGAAAGAGTTCAAAAATGTGAGCAGTACCCATTAGAAGAACACCTAGCCTGATATGTATGCCACACTTTGTGGTAAATGTGACTGGGTAATGTCTCAAACTGGAAAACCTCTGGAAGATCATACATTTATTTTCCATGCATAAGTGACATATCCAGAGGTCTGGATAGTGAAAGGGATATTGGGAGTAGAAGGTCCTGTTACAAAGGTAGTGTCCACGGTTTGGCCATGGACATCTCTACCAGAGTAACATTCCAGTTCCTGCATGGTCATACATGAGCCACCAGAAGCTTATCCCTGATGAATTTTGGCCATCACCCAAAGGATCAGAGGAACAAGTAGTAGATCATGTGGAGACAACAAAAACAAAATCTACATTTCTGCCCTGGGTGCCAAATAAACCTAGATATGCATCTGAGCAATCCCAATTGATTATTTCTGGAATACCTAATTTATAACTAATGGTTGCAGTAAGAATGTTGTACGCAATTGATGTTACACTGACTGAAGCATTGATATGAAAGGATTCTTGATATTCTGTAACTTCAAAGTTCTTGGAGTAAATTTGTAGAGTGAGGATTTTGGCTGCTGTGAAGCCTGGGGTCTGCTTTCACGTGTAATTTGTAAATAATCTGGATTATAAAAAAAATATTATAAATAGTTTTTTAAGGGTTTCTCATTCATTATTGGACATTGATAAAGAATTGCTGCATGTGACACTTGCCATATGTTCAGTTGCTCACCAGGTGACATCACTGTATAAATTGGAGTTGACATCTATAACAGCAGCCTGTGGCCTAACAACATGTTGATCTGTTCCTTTGTAGAGCGTATTAGTCAAACAGTAGAGATTTTAAAGCACACTGTGGATATAGAGGAGAAAGGAGTGAAACTGAAACTAACTATAGTGGACACACCAGGCTTTGGCGATGCTGTCAATAATAACGAATGGTAAGTGGATTGTGAGTGCACTATTACAGTGCGTGTCTTGGATCATGTCATTGTAAACCGGTTATTCATTACTTTTCCTTTGACAACAGTTGGAAGGCCATCACAGACTACATAGACCAGCAATTCGAGCAATATTTTCGGGATGAGAGTGGACTGAATCGGAAAAACATTCAAGATAACAGAGTTCATTGCTGTTTGTACTTCATCTCACCCTTTGGACATGGGTAAGAGCTACGATAATGGTGCAAAAACTGCTGTACAAGGTGTGCTGTGTTTCACTTTCCTTTCTGCTTTGTCAGACTATTCGTTCTAGTGCCATTTTATGTGTGTGTAACAAAGATCATCTGACGTGGAACTGTCATGTTTTTGATATCTTTTGATTTTCCTTTGTTTATGTCGTATTGTATTTAAATGATTATATTCCTCTTTTCCTATTGCCACTTCCCTTTATTGATAATTATAATCTTTTCTGACTTGGGCTGGATGTCAATGTCAGGGTGCCTCTAGTTTTGTGTGTGAATGTTTGCAAACTTTATACAAGTGTTCTGTAAACCTTCCATCACTTCCTACAAAACATGATTACAATTTACTTGATTGCACTACCTCCCTCTTTTCTAGGTTGCCCATTAATTCAGTACTGATCTGGTTTATCTGATTATTCACTAGTGATCTCCCTCCTGTACTAGTTTGTTTCTTGAAGAAACTATTCCCTTGAAGGTGCCATGTCTATTTTAGAAATTGTATTCTCTTTATTAATGGACATTTCTTCTAGGATTCCATGCGTGGATGTGCAAAATGTAATTTGTTGAGTTGTGCGATAGTATACGTACTGTGTCTGCCTTGTTTGTGAGTTCTATATACATTTATATAAAATGTCTGTCAGTTGACGAGTTCAGTGACAGTGTATTTAATGTGTTAGTTATTGATTTTTTTGCAATATATGCACACTGTCAGTTTACAGGTGAATTCTACCCTTAATTAGTTCTGTTTTTATAGTTTATGTAAGGAGCTTTATTTAATCATCGCTACATAGAAGTCTAGCTTGAAAAGGAGACTTATGTTCTTCAAGTTCAACCTATAAAACACCACTTTTTGTTCTGTTGAAAAAAGCCAAAAAAGCCAAGGGCAATAATGTCACCAAAATGAAAACATAATTCAGTATTGACTCCATAATGTCAATCATATTTCTCCTTGGATCGACAGCATGTTCACATGCATGCTATTATTATTATTTATAAAGTGGCAACAAATTCTGTAGCGCTGTACAATAGGTGGACTAACAGACAAGTATTTTCAACATAATACAAGAAAATGTTGAGATAGGCGCTCACTATCACTAAATATAGCAGCAATTCACCAACAAAGGGTTCCCTCACCCTTGTGACATATAAAGCAGAATGAAAGGGGCGGGGCCTGACTCCCAAGTTGGCCGGACGTGTCTGCTAACAGCTCCTGCTACACAGAGCTTCTTGTATCTTTCTAAGCAACTGAAACTTACCTGACAGATGACCAAACATACAGAAGACAACTCGGGTAGAAGAGTGACCTGTCCTGAGCCTCAGAAGCACTGAACTAGAGAGCAATCTCACCGTCCGGACTCAAACAGCCTGCTGGTTTGTCAACGGGGAGAGGTGGCCGATCTCCCAGCTGCAGCCACACGGCTTAAATCAGTTTCTGCAGCTCTGTAACCGCCCGGACCGGTGGGGGATATCCCGGCGTCCGCTGGGGTGAATACCTCTCTGCAGTAGCAAACGCCTGCTATCTGTGGATCTTACTGCCACGTGGCTCATCCCATATGGCCGACATACTGGACCACTTTATGAGTCAAGCAAGCCTGAAGGGCCAGAGTTGGAGGGAGAGCTTTGAGACCAAATTCGAGACACTATATAAGGAGTTTTGGCAAAGAATAGACAGCCGAAAGTGCACTTCCACCTCGCCCGTCATATCAGTGCTTCCTGCAACCACTCGGACTCACTACACTTCATCTGGGCTGGGGGCACACGTGGAAATAAGTCCACACTTCGGTCCGAGCGCCCAAAGAGTTCTCTGCATAGGAAAAACTAAACAGGCATGCGATCCCTCCAAGAGGAGAAAAAAGACCCCTGGACACCAGGCACCAGCTCCCCAAGCGGTCTGGGCTAGAAGTGGAGAGCGAGACCAGAGTGAGACTATTCCTGTCGCCTGCTCCACGGGCCAATATACACCAAAATCATCTGCTGCCATTCAAGTTGATATGGACATCATATGTAAAGAAACAGAAAGATTTCCAATGGTATGGTATGTATATGGAAATAGCTATATAAAAATTATATTATCCTACTTACGCAACTTAGAGCAAGGACCTGTTCTAGTATGAAGAACTTTAGGTGGTGCAATCTTCACCTGAGGATATATACAGGAACCGGATAAGCAGCAGGAGCTGGGTAAAGGTAAGTACTCCACAGAATTGATAAATTAAAAAGTACTTTATTTAAGTATTAAAATGCTGAACATACAGCACACTATAAGAATAAAATAAATGAATAAAACAAGTCAATAAATTGAGTAAATCCTCACTTGATGCGTTTCTCCGAAGCTTTTTCAAAAGTTGATGTAATTCAATGGAAAGACGGCTATTTAAATGTTCCTGGGTTGTCATTAGCTGGTGCCGCTGTTTGCGCAGCTGTTTCCAGCATTTGCAACAGGACGAGTTGGACGCAGAGGAACAGAGGTTCCTGAGGGGCCTGCTCCAAAGAGCTTACATTCTAGAAGAAGTGGAGTAAAGTAACACAAGACATAAGGGTACGATGTACATTCAAATAACATATGTAGAATATGCCCAACTGGGCATGTCAGAAAATGACAATGTCCCTCTAATGAAAAAATAACAAATAGTTTTTTGAAAAATATATATATATTTTTTAAATAAATTAAGACTAAATAACAAACAGTTACAATTTAGCTGCAACACAAATGGGAAGTGAGGAGCAATTGAACGCAGACAACTAAGGTATAAACAATTGACCCTTAAAGAGGTTCTCTGCACAGGAAAAGTGCTTACTACATGGAATGGTAACTAAAAATGGCATTAAATCATTTCACAGGAGGAGAAATTCACTTGAGCCCACTATGGGTTACCCCTTGGGCTACAAAGAGCTACAAAGTGTCTCTTATAATAGTCTAGTATAAATTGTGCCCTAATTATTGAGACAGCTCTTCAAGTGATATATAAGTGGAAATAATACAGAATAACATATATATATATATATATATATATTTATATATATATATATATATACGCACAGACCTGTTTAAGCTACCTCAATGATGTCTTCTGATGTACTCCGAACATCTGAGAGAAAAGGAGCAAAAAGACCCATAAATAAGTAAGTCCCTACCAGATTATATATGCAGGGAATTTAATGGTCAGTCCTAAAAAATATATCTCTCTCGACTACCACCCCTGACAGCCCTAAAACCAAAGTGCTGAAATCATAAGTGAAAAAATGTGAAGTAACAAAAATGCCCAACGTGCGTTTCGGCACTATAACTGCACCTTTGTCCAGGGCTATGAAAAGAGTAACTACTCAGGAGTGTTTATATATAGGGTCAGCCCAACCCAAATGTAATTGTTTCACCAATCACTGTGGTTATTTTAAAGTGTGGGGGTAAGGGTGGTAGAAGCTCCACTCTCAAACAAGACAGAGGGAAACGGAAGTTAACCCTTTCAGTTTTAAAAAAACTAATGTATTTTCAAAGGATTGTCAATCCTACTTGACTTATAGTATATACAAAAAAAGTTAAGAACCATATTGAAGTATATGTATACAGGTGTACAGCTACCACAAATAACTTATAGTATATACTATACTAGCAATTTATGGGTATAAGCATAAACCATTCAATTATATTAAGTGGCTACTCGGGTTCAAAAACTATATGTGAATAGTCCTAAATATCAATAAAGAAACAAGACAGTCAATTTGTTGTAAAGATGCCGTTATCCTATTGAAATTAGCCTGTTTTTTAAATTAAGCATTTTTTGTAAAACCCGTATAAATTAATTTTTCCAAATTGATCTCAAAAGATGTCATATTATGGGCAGTATTTCTTGAGTGCTTTCTAACTTGAGTGTTTGAAAATAGGCCAACATTATTAGTTATTAGAAGATATAGACAAGCAGCTATTCTAGCTGGTGCTGTATTAATGTCAAATCTTAAGTGTTGTTGAGTTCTGTATCTCACTCGTCTTTTGCCGGTTCGTTATTGAGGCTTATAGTGCTCCCTCTCGTATACTGATTGTATAGTGTGTTATATGGTTATGGCTCTCATATGTCAGTTTATTAATACGTTCTTTGCTTATATCTCTCCAGTGTCATTTTGTTGTTGCGTACTCTACTCTTGTTTCATTTTGTTAATGCATTTGCTTAATAGTCTGTCTCAAATGTTGTTCAGGGTAGACTGACAGCATCCTAGACAAAATGTGGACACTGACCCCTTTGAGTCGTAGATTGAGAATATTTTTGGAGGAGATGAAAAAGGTGCATCCACACCGTTGTCCTCCTTTGGGCAATATATAATGAATTTACTACTCATCAAATTAAGAAACGAGAGATTTATTCCACAACTGCAAAATTTTCACCCAACAGGGTCTTTGTCAAGTTGAAGAGTCAATATCAAACATACCATTTAAATACATGTTTAATTACATATACTTAGTATAACTACATGGATTAACTTACAGTGGTAGAGTCATTCTAAGATAAAACAAAAATAGAAAGATTAACCCTTTGTGCATCAAAGTAAAGACACCAGAATTGTAAACAATGATACAATCAGAAAAAGAATAGTAATAAACATATATTCATTCTCCTCTTAATAACATCCATGGTATTCATTCCAAATGACTACAGTTATAGTTCCCTATAAAAATTAATATGGTTTATTACAATAAGAACATAATGGTTTAATCCATGCATGCATGACTGTGCCCAATTTGTGTATAGCACAGATATAAATTATAAAACAGGGGACCTTCAAAGCAGAGACAAAATCACTCTAAAAAAAAGAGAAGAAAAAAAGAGAAGTAAAAAAGAACATATTAGAACCGAAATGCAATAAGTTACAAATTTGGAAATCTATGTTTGACCCTTTGGGTTTCATGCAATGTAGAGTATATATTGAAACTGCTTAAGGTTTTTTGAGAAGTTTCTGTCGATTGATTCCTCTTGTTTGAAATGGCAAATCATTAAATGAATTGATTCTGTCCCCCTCCCCCTCAGTTGAGCCATCGAATGGTTGCTTTCAGCCATGTGTGCTGGCAGTTTTTAGTATGAATGTCAGAGCAATGTTTGGACAGGCGATCCTAATCCTGTCGATGGTTTCAGCAACATAGACAATGCCACAAGGGCACTTGATGAAGTATATAACAAATGTTGATTTACAAGTGACATACTGCTTAATCCAAAATTGCTTTCCTCTACGTGGGTGTGAAATGTTTGGCCCTTAAACACTGAACTGCATGAGCTATAGTATAAACAGGGAAAATTTTCAAACTTGTGGTTTTCCCAAAAACTTTTGTATAAGCTAAGTGGGTATTTTATACTCTGCTCGGATTAGATTTTCACAAATAGCCATCATTGGTGGCTTTTAAAATTCGTAAACTTCTGGGTGTGCTGACTGTAAGATATGCTAGTGTTCTCTTTGGAATGTGTGCCCTATTGACTGACCAGTTGAACATGCCACCTACACCTTATGGATTGAGCAAAACCATTTTTCTGCTCTGCACCAGTGAGTACATTTCCTATAATTTTATACCTTTTAACCTATAAAGTGAGCACAATATTTTAATGTTGTTTTATTCAGATACCACCATGGTGTGGATTTCAACTACAATTATCCAAGAGTGGGGATCATTCCACTCCATGCTAATTACAAGGAGCCATCAGAAGGCTCCAGATATTGTGAGTGTGTACTCTGTTTCTTTTATATACCGCTGGATAACCCCCACCCCCACCCAGTGAACCAAGGTGCTAACTACATATGGATAGGCTGGCATTGTGCCGCCCAGCTGTACTAAATTTGAGCTAATTATCAGCTCCGTACACTGTAAGTGCATTTGATTTCGTTTTCTTCAATCAATAGGTTACATACTACATTACACTATACTCTTTGTTCTCTCTTCTCTGCATATTGAGCTATATTGGAGGATTTTTTCAAGAGGCTATTTCCCTCTTTGTGCATACAAATACACATTCACACCTACAAATGTCGTAGGTAGTCGTGAAAAAAACATTATTAGTGGGAGGGAGAGCATAATCTTCATTTTCAGCTGTAGCTCTCACTGGTCAGTAAGTCTGGATGCTGTCCTGCCCACTTGGTGCTTCTCCTCAACACATTTAGATACAGTGTCCCACTTCTCCTTGCATTTGCTGCAAATTGAAGTGCTGTGAGGTGCCCTCAAATGCACAGGTAAGTGTATTTGAGATAGTCCACCTGCTGGTTTCGGGGAATTACTTGTCTTGTGTCCCCCTTGGATCCGCTGATGGTTACAGCCAGCAAATACATCATTGTACATGCCTATAGCCAAAGCCCATAATTAAAAACTAGCCTTTTGGCAGCCAGGTCCCTCTGTTTTTTATTAGTGACTAAGCAGCAATAGCTGCTTTTTAATTACAGTGAGCAGTCATTGGCTGCTCAATGTTTAGTAGGCAAACCCCCACCAAACAGCGGGGCTGAGGGGAGCATAAGGAAGGTATTATTCCTCTGTTACACTACATGGTCGTCATACTCACCATCATATACATTTTTGTTAATTTTAAATAATAACTAACAGCATTAAACTCAGACAAAGTCATCAGAAAAAAAGTTAATAATTATCAACAGCTAAAGGTCGATAGAATTAAAATGTGTGGGGTGCCAATTAGGGAAGTATTCAGCATAATAGCAAGAAATGAGGCATGAAATTTGTTTATTTATTTACTTAAATACATCTTTTTAATGTTGTAGTTTTCAATCCCCTATCTAACTGGGTAATAGTTATTCCATCTACAGGTTTCTGCAGGAAAGTGGTTGCCACCATTTATTTTAGGCAAGGATCAAAATTATGTAGATGAAATTAGTCTGGTGACCCATTCCATAATCTTATTATAACAAGTTCCAAAATACAATAAAAAAAACACTTTCGGTACACCATTTTCATTGTAAACTGGTATCGATTTGTAGGAAAAGCAATGAGGCTACAATAAACACTTTATAAATATGATGTACTCGTTACAGCCAGGTGTTAAAGAATCATCACTATTAAAGAATTACTGTGACAGGATATGCATACTGAGTAATGCTTCCACATGACGAATGTAAGCTCCCTGCCGTTCAGATGAATGGATAGCTGCTCGGTGCCAATTTCAGGCTGGTTCATTACACCTTTGTAGCTTGAAAGTGAGAGTCAAGAGGTGGATTTGTGGCACAGATGTTATCTCTCACTCTCAAATCCCATGTACTGGCATCATGCAAAAATATTTGGATGGCCATTTGCATGATAACCCTGAAGATGAATGTTTGCAGAGAGGCTGGAGAGTCGCTTTAAAGGAGTCATTGTTTCTTTGTGTTTATAGTGATCAGGCAAGGTATGTGTATTGTTCACTTTATCTGACAGTCAAGTGCTAATTAAACAACTGCTTGATTGCCATTTTATTAAAATAGCAGTGCTTGTGCTTAATCATTGGATTACTTAGACTTAGAGTGTGTACACAGTTTATGCTTTTTTACACTTGAAGGATTAATTACTCTTCTTGCCAAAGGGGATGTTGGTAATTCCTTTTTCACTGAAAACATTATAGCTCACAATATGTTTAAATAATTGTTGCGATTTGTCTTTCTTTTTTTTTTTTTAAATGCAGTCTCTCCCACTCAGTAGAAAATTTGTTTCCATACTTACCATGATTTTACCATGGTAGCTCCTCCCCTAATGTGTTAAGGCTACTACGGCTTCAAGAAAATAGAAAAATGTTTGAAAAAAATACCATAATTTTCTTTTCTTTATTACAAACAATGACAGCATTAACTTATGAAAAGAGCAGCTACCCATAAGTCACTGCTTCATGAATCCTTTCTTACCTCGTCTATAGTTTTATCTGTTTTACTCTCCTTTCCCTACTTTCCTTCATTGTTGAATAGAAGTTGTTTGAAAATAATTGCATTTACTGTGATATCTAGTAAATTCTGGAAGGTATAGTTTTCCTTTGGGTGTATTTTAGGTGGTAGCAGTTGAGGAGTGTTACTCTCAGGGTTATTTACCAAAGTGTGAAAGTTGGAATTCTAATTGAATTACACATTTTCGTGCCATTATCCTTTCCTCACCCTCCCTCATCATTCTTCTGTCCTTCTGTCTCTTCCTAACATATTAATCTCTACTACACATAGCTATCTCTGTACCTCCTCCATGTGTATTCTGGGGGTGTATACACATCCAACAATATAAAAGAACTGCAATATTCATAATATTATTTTTCCTTCTCTCTCCTCCATCTCTGTACTCTTCTTTTTTGACATATTAGCACTGTCTATACATGGTTGTCTGGCTGACCAGATATACATTTGTACTACTGTACTCTATGAAAGCACTGCAGCGGCATGTAGTTAGATTTTTCCTGTGCAGCTCGTATTTAGAGTTTTCATTGTAAAATGTGTTATCTTTCTGTGTAGAAATAAGAACTGAGTAACAAAAACAGTCACAATTTCACATAACTTCTGGTAATTAAACCACTTTGTAGCCATACTTATACATTATTCTGTTGTACACTAAGCCTTTTACAATTCTTGTCTGTCCTAGTCTTCGGCCTGTGGATGTGGCATTTATGAAATCTCTGCACGAGAAGGTGAACATTGTTCCTCTGATTGCCAAGGCTGACTGTCTGATTCCGGGCGAAATACGCAAACTAAAGGAACGGGTGAGGCTGCAGGGCTTTTACCTGGAATAGAACCACAAATAATCTTTGACAATTAATGGATGTTGCATAACTTCATTAGCTCCTTTGACTTCCAATATCATTTCTATGCAGATTACACGCAAATCTACCTGTCCTCTCCTGATCTCTCCCCGTCCCTCTTGACTGTCTCTGACTGCCTCTCTGCTGTTTCTAACTGGATGTTTGCCACTTCCTTAAACTAAACTTGACCAAAACTGAAATTCTGGTCTTTCCTCCCTCAAGTGTTGTTACTCCTGTGTCTGTCTACCTACAAGTCAACGGTGCTACTAGCAGCTCCACCACACAGGCTCGCTGCCTAGGTGTTCTCTTTGACTCTGACCTCTCCTTTAAGCCTCATGTTCAATTTATCGCCAAATCCTGTCATTTCCATCTCAAAAACATTGCGTGCATCCGGCCCTACTTAACGCCAGATGCGACTAAGGTGTTGGTCCATTCCACTGTCCTTTCTCGCCTTGACTACTGTAATCCGCTTCTCAGTGGTCTTACGTGCTCCCAACTAGTGCCATTACAGTCCATAATGAATGCGGCACCGAGGCTCATCTTCCTGTCCGCCCGCACCTCCCATGCCTCACCCTTCTGTCAGTCCCTACATTGGCTTCCTATAAAATATAGAGCTCAATTTAAAATTCTGGTTCTTGCTTTCAAATCTCTACATAATGTGGCTCCCACCTATCTATCCTCCCTTATACAGAAGTAGGCCCTTACGATCTGCTGAAGACTTACGTCTATCTTCTGTCCGTACTCCCACCTCTGATCGTTCCTGTGGAACTTGCTTCCCTCCTCAGTTAGATGCTCACCCAGTCTCCACTCCTTTAAAAAATCGTTAAAAACCCACTTCATAAAAGCGTATCAATTAAACTGTTAATAGCTCCTGACCGATTCCTCTTCTGCAACTGTCACTAGTCTAATACTATCCTTACCTTTTTGTGTCATTTTACCCCACTCCCTCTAGCATGTAAGCTCATTGAGCAGGGCCCACAACCCCTTTGTTCCTGTGTGTCCAACTTGTCTGGTTACAACTACATGTCTGTTCGTCCACCCATTGTAAAGCTCTGCGGAATTTGACGGCGCTCTATAAATATCATAATAATAATAATAATAATAATAACTTTCCACTCTCTAAACATCATTCATTTTCTAGGATTTATTATAAAGCAATCCACAGGTTCAACAGGTAGGATGCGAAGTAGGACGTTTAATCATGTAGAAGGCCATTGGGCAGAAACTTTGTGTTTTGTTGTGTTCTCTGCCTAAATAAATTGCACTTTGCATCCTACCTGTTGACCCATGGATTTTGCTTTATATTATACCTATTGAGAGGTTGTGGGCCTCTACTACAGAGTACAGGGAGGTGCATTGGTTCGTATACGTTTTTCCCAAGAGTGACTCATCTTTCTAAACTTCTGGATTTTCTAGTATTTAGGTTACCACTCACATCTTCACCAAGCTTCCTTCCTGCTTCTTCTCCTTGACTCCCCTCATGTATATCTATGTGTACTTGTTATTGTTGGGGTTATCAATTGCACATTTCAATTATTATTGGACCAAAATACCAACAAGCCAGATTAATACTATTTTTTTGTCTATAAGAGATCTTACGGGGTTGTAGTGTATAAAACGGAAATTGAATGTTTATACAATGTTGTTATTATTATTATGATATTTATATAGCGCCATCAAATTCTGCAGCGCTTTACAGTGGGTGGACGAACAGACATGTAGTTGTAACCAGACAAGTTGGACACACAGGAACAGAGGGGTTGAGGGCCCAATGAGCTTACATGCTAGAGGGAGTGGGGTAAAATGACACAAAAAGGTAAGGATAGTATTACACTAGTTGACAGTTGCAAGAGAGGAATCAGTCAAGAGCTATTAAGTTTAATTGATACGCTTATTATTATTATAACGCTTATTATTTAGCGTTCCTCCACTCTACTTATGTATCTGTTTTACATTCCTATGAATAGTTTTTCAAATATTTTTGTTATCCTCCCCGCACACAGTGCTCTAATTGTATTTGCTCTGTTGCATTTTTCAAATCAAATCTTCAGATCAGGGAGGAGATTGAGAAATTTGGCATCAAGGTCTATCAGTTCCCCGAGTGTGACTCAGATGAGGACGATGATTTCAAACAACAGGACAGAGAGCTAAAGGTAAACAAAGCACATGAATATGCATATAATCTCTCTGCTCAGTCTTCTTATTCCCTGTCTCTGCTCAGCCTCAGTTTCATTCACCCTTACCGCATCTCATACCAGCACATATAGAATCAGTGCCTGCAGAATTCTGTGCTTCACCTTAAGCACTGTAAAGATGTAGGGGAAATGAGAGTATTGAGCTACTGACATACTCGTTTGGACATTGTTCAATATACTCTGTGATTTACATTTCTACACTTCCAGGTTGTAATAATTGTTCCCATATGGTCTAGTTCAGGGGTAGGCAACCTTCGGCACTCCAGTTGTTGTGGACTACACCCCCCATAATGCTCTTCCACCCATAATGCTGGCAAAGTATCATGGGAGGTTTAGTCCAAAACATCTGGAGTGCCGAACGTTGCCTACGCCTGGTCTAGTTGACAGTGCATGAATCTAACAAATAATACACAGCTGTGTCACAATAAAAGTATGACAGCATGTTATCCACGTGTAAAAACACCAGCATCTTACACATTCTAGCACTGTATGGATCTTTTTTATTCAGTTTTATCTTTTCTGCAGGAAAGTGCTCCTTTCGCAGTGATTGGCAGTAATACTGTAGTAGAAGCCAAAGGTCAGAGAGTACGAGGTCGTTTGTACCCATGGGGCATTGTGGAAGGTGAGCTTTGTGTAATATAGAGTGTTTCCATATGCTGGGAACTTTCCATATTATTACAATATGTAAGGAATTAGGTGCAGTAATTGTGTTTATTATCTATACATTATTAATAATATTTCACTTCTATCTGTATCTGATGTCCAGCAGAGACTCTTCCATGCTGTACTGTTAAATAAATATTTTGCTTATGCCTGTGCGGTCACACTGTGATCATATAAATAAATCATTAATGTCTGTCTCCTGTCTTCATGCAGTGGAGAATCAGTCACACTGTGACTTTGTGAAACTGAGGAACATGCTGATTCGCACACACATGCACGACTTGAAGGATGTTACATGTGACGTGCACTATGAAAACTACCGAGCTCAGTGCATCCATCAGATGACCAGGTAAATGATCAAGTTATTGTATTTCTGATTTTCAGAAGCGTGCATACTGCATTTTGTTTCACACATTCAGCTCAACAGTTACCAAATCACCACATCCATCAATAATCAAATCATGATAACCAGCTTCAGCTAATCTATTGGGATTCAATCTAAAGTTATGGAAGATCAAACCTTGACACCAAACAAGGGAAATCACTCTCAGCACTGTTTCCTGGACTAAGATTACAGATTCCAAAATAAGAACATCTCTACCTTGATAAAGACCATTGCAGCGGTCGAAACGTTGCTGTTGTGTACTTTGGGCACCTGAATGAAAAGACACTACTTCCAAAATGAAGAGCTGGAATTTATTTTTATACTTTCCTAAAGTTACAGACTGTCTAAAACATTATAACCTGCCTCAGACTACCAACCATTTATCGTTCTTTTTTTAAGCCAAGAGGCCTGTGGCAGGATACTGAGTTAACCTTACTTTTGATTGGCTTGTGCAATTATTTTATTAATTTTACCTAGACTATGTTTCCTGCTCATTTAGCAGGACTGGTACAAATGTGCTAGGAGGACCTGCTAGCCAAGTGTGCCTGCTAGCCAAGCACACCTGCTGCCTATTCTTAATTAATATATTCGGTGTCTTTCTGGAGTGTTCAGCCATGTAATAATAAAAGTAGAGACATTTGTTGAAGAAGATACACAAAACATTGTACATGGGACAATGACATCTCAGTCTTCTTCAAAGTTGGCCCCTTGGGATCTCACACCGTTCTGCCAGCATCTCTTCCACTGTTCAAAACACTCTGCAAAATTCTTTGTTGGAATCACCATCAACTACTTTGTCATATTTACCTGAATCTCATCAATGGTCTGAAATCTCTTCCCTTTCAAATGTGATTTTAGTTTGGGGAAAAGCCCGAAGTCACAGGATACCAAACTTGGGCTGTAGGGGGGCTGAGTCAACTAAGTGATTTTATTTGCGCTGCTCTCATTGCATCGTCCCCAAAAGCCATCTGAATCATCCATATAGTTTCCGCAGAGGAATGTTTAAACTTAATGCAAATTTTGAAGCAGATTCGTTGTTCTACATCCTCACTTAACAACATCTAGCACCCCCACTGACTAGTACAATGAAATCGTCATTGTTCATGCATGCGCATTCCATTCTGCTCTCTTTGGCTGCCAGGTTACATCGATGTCGCACAAACCATTCTTATTATATTAACAATGGCTGGATACTTTCCGCACAGAACCTGAGTATGTATGTATGTATATATATATATACATGTAAGGCCTTGGCCTGTAGTTGTGGGAGGGGCTTGAATTGCCTTTAAAAGGGCTTCCAATCCTCTCCCACCTTACCGTGGACAGTCTGGCGAATCACTTCCAGTCGGACCGCCATCTTGGTTTCTTACCTGCCTTCCATGGTGTTCCTGAACAGCGTTTGCCAGCTCTAATCGTGAGTCTGCAGACTGGTACATTTGTACACCGTCTGTATCATACCGGGGGGGGGGGGTCAGCAAACCTCCAGGGTGCCTGGCACCATTATATATGCTTTCTGGATATACTACAGACCTCCCACAGCCTCACTTTTCATGGGGGTCTGCGGTATTCTTTGTAAAAATGGGTTGCTTCGGCTCCCACGCTAAGCAGTGATTACACTGGTACACCGTCTGTATCACATAAGGGGGATCACACAACCACTGGGGTCTCCAGCGTGGCTCGGTGCCCTCCCCCCCCCATTGTGTCACCAGGGCACGGAGTGTACCCACATGCCAGCTCCCCCCCCCCATCAAAAAGGGGCATGGAGGAGTGTCACATATCGGCTTTTGCCGGCTACCCACCCATCAACAGGGGTGCGGAGGGGATTCTCTTACCGGCTTTGCCGGCTGCCGCCCATCCCCCTGTAACTGGGGCACTAAGGGGAGTCACGTACCGGCTTCCCCGGGTCTTCTCCTCCTCCTTCCATGAAGAAGGTCACGGGTAGTCACTGACGGGGTCGTTGCAAGGTGTGCTCCTTCCAAGACTGGCGTCGGACTATTTCCGGCTGTAAAGTGAGATCTCACCACGGCTCTGCAATAGCAGTATAGGCGGGAAAGCACTAAGGCAGCTCAAATCCCATCACGCTCAGCCACACAAGTGAGTAATAACGACACTGTCAGGGAAACTACGTTCCCACACAATTTTCTGTTTGTTTGTATACATGAGGGGTAATATTGGGCATTTCTGATTATGTAATTTGATGTGATTGTGTGAACTGGTATTGCTGTCTGAAGTTAGGTTCGGCTACATACCAGCCATTCGTTTACACGATTTCAAGTTGTTTCAGTCTTGTCGCCACCTGGTGGCCTGATTATGTAATGTCATGTCCCTGGTTTTAAGTCATATACCCCTGTTGGTTTGAAGGTTTTACAGATTCCAAGTAAATGTATTTATGTGTGGCTATTCTAAATATACAGTATTCAGCTGGTTAATTAATTTATCTGTTAGCTGACAATTGTTATGTTGTTCCTACAAGTTCATTGCAGGATATTAAGCTTATGTTTTGTGACATCATCGCTCCAATACTTGTCCTTATTAGGTTGACAATATGGTTGTAGGTTGTACTCATTGCAAGTTATTTTATTGGGCATTAACATCTCGCTTTCTTTAGGTACCTCGGTCATGCTGCAGGGTTGCTTTACAAGCACTGCAATTCTGTCACCTACCTCTGTCTTATGTTCATTGCTCATTTTTAGGTTCTGGTAGGTTTTCCGTTTATGGTTCGGGTCCACAATCTGGTACTCACATAACTGGTACACACAGATACTCCCCTTATCATTTTTTACTGGGTTGCAGCACGTATCTACTGCCACCCTCTCGCTCCTATTTTTCTGCATGTGATCTTGTCCTGACTCAAACTTTATCAGGCACGTTTTCACAACCCCGTACTTTCTATTTAGAGTGGTACTGGCTTTTGAGATTTAGTTTACCCAACTAGGTTTCTGTTTTCCGATCTTAATCCATACGTTAGTGGTCCCGTGAGGCCAACACCCATCTTCTCTGAGTTTTACGTCCCTCGGCCCAAATCATAGGTAGCCGCCTCGCATTGTTGCATAGGGAGGGCCTCCCATGTCACTCCCATTCTATCTTATGCTTTAGTTGCCATTAAGAGGCGAGCACCCCGCCACAACGTTTCGGTGGCCTCAAAAATCCCCTCTGGCCAACTCATAATTAGCGCCTCTCACGCCACTTGGCAATTAGTAGGGACTCATCTGTCACGTTAAGTTAGCTTAATTCTTCGCCGCTTGGCTTCTAGCTAGCCTGCCAGTACCCGGTCCCTTCGTCTCACTTATGATAATTAAGTTAGATATATATTCTGTTTTGTATCATGTTCCGGAAGGACTGGTGGTTCTAGTTCAGGTAGGTTGTTACACATGTTGTTCTCTTTATTCCCGGGCTCATGCTAATTCCATGTGTCCGTATAAAGTTTTCCTAAATCCTCACTACACTGGCATCAACGTCACGTTATTGGTTACGCTTTAACAATATCGTCCCTCGCAGCATTTGGTTACATTTATCAGCAAAAGGCTGACTCAAGGGTTCCACATGGGTTCGTACATTTTGATAACTGGGACACTAGAATGCAATAATTTGCAACCGCTTTCACAGACCAAGAGTAAGTGTGTGCGGTTATAAGGACGGAACTAGATCATGGGTTTGTGGGGTGTTTTGGTTCCCCTCCTTTTCACATTGGGGAGAACCAACCCCATAGGAGAGTCACAGGGAACACTTCACTTGAACCCAGACAATCATAGACTTGTCCACCTTTCCTAGCCTTCATTCCCTCATACCCTCCGATGAACTTTCTTTACTATATGCCACTATCACCTATGCCATTTGGGCCACCCTGGTGACTAGTACCGGCGCTTGGCTCTAATAAAACTGATATTGTCAATGTTTTTAAATTACTTCCCATTCACCCTTCACTATGACATCTGCACTGCATTTAAGTGACATGGACTTTATTATTTCTCACGACTCACCTTTAGCTTCAAGTGCAGCCCCAGAATCTGTGCTACTTGGCTGATACTTTGTGTTGGTTATGGCTTAATATGTACAGATGTCCGTCCGTTATTTCTTCCTGGAAAATATCCCCATGATTGAGACCAAGGCACCCCCCTAGCAGACTTACACGCATATTGGCTTTTGAGCCCCTGGCTACTCCAGTCACCCCTCACAAGACCCTAGGTCCTGATAACACCGCACAATTTTGGGCATCCTACTAGACTCGATCCACATGCAAGCTAGCCTTCACCAGGACATAGATTGAGCACACCCTATCAGGCATTTGAACTCTACTTGCAACTAGGTCTTGCAACTGCGAGGTACTTCAATCACTGCTGGGGTTGCTCAATTTTGCCATGAGACTCATCCCACAGGGTAGATCCTTCATTTCCCGGTTCCTTCTCTTTATTCCCACGACTCACCACGTATCACGTTAGACACTCATGCAACCTCTGATTTACTTATGTGGCGCTTTCCTCATATACTGGAAAGGGCGAGCCATGTTTATTCCCCCTCTCTGACAGTTCACCCATGGTTTGAACAGATGCAGCATCAAACTCTGGTTTTGCTGCCATCGGAGGGGATAAATGGTGTTTAGGGGCATGGCCCACAGATGTTAAGTCCCAGCCCAGCTTCTCCTCTCCAACTTCGGCCTTGTTTGAATGATATCCGATCATGACAGCTGCCATTGCCTGGGGACCAATACGGTCCGGTCACTCAGTCGGATGTTATTCACATACGCCTAGCCACATTGTGCATATAGGCCGATCTTCATCTCTGGTCATCAGGAGACTGTTCAGGAAACTCACATGGGTAGCCACTTGCTAATCTTATCACATGTATTCACGTGCCGGGTTTCACAAACATCTTAGCTGGCCTCTTCCATGGGTTGCGTTTCAGGCTTTCTGCCAGACACTACCCACCACTTCCAGGCTGGCTAACCTGCCCCGCCTTTCCTAGACATGCTCATGGATTAAATGTCTGGTTTAACCTTGCACATCACGTTTCTATCCTTACACTTTCAGTCAACACTAGAAATTATATGATAGGGTGTTCACATATTTTCTATTGAGGAGTTTTAAGTTCTTGACATATTTGCTATGAAATCTATTTTGGGGTTCTCTTCTTTTTTGCCACCTTAACTTAAATTATCATTTAACACAATTAAACGGTAACTTACGGATATCCAACACCACATGCTTCCACGACACCCCAACAATACAGGATTCCTTTCAACTTATCTGACAAAGACCTACTGAAAGGAATTCAAAATTCAAGATCCACGGACCATCTCAAAGGCTACCCATCCACAAGGCATATTTCATTCACTATCCGACGTAGTAGATTCAGCTCCTTTTGAGCACATGACCCATACCCCAATCAAACGGCCCTACATCTAGCATGCTATGGGTTCTTACGTCCCAATGAATTTAACACTAGGAATATAACTACCACTGAATACCTGGGAACGACTGATATCCAGTCACATTAGATCATTAGGTCCTATCTCTGCATCAGTCTATATCTATAACTTTAGCACATACGGTCACAATACCCCTATTACCTACTCTAAACAATGGAGCCAGGTAAAGTTCTGGATACTTATTGCACCACTATCCAGATACAGCCACTCAAACCATTATCAGAACATCACGGCTCCATTCTTACAGCATATCAAGTCATGCTTCATGTTCACTTACTGTTAACTAGGCTTGGCCTAATACAAACCTTTCCTCAGGACACTCCTTACGCATAGGGGCAGCATCCTCACCTTCCTCCAACCACATTCCTGCTCATATCAGGGCTATGGGACGCTGGAAATTCTCCACCTATACTCTTTACATTCCGAACCCAGTTAAAGAGCTAATAGAAGCTTTTTGTGACTTGTCCGAGTAAACGATGGTTGTTATATGATTAATTGTGTATGGTATTCTTCTTTTTGCCCACTTTTATTACAGGCCTACTGCTCTGTCGGTTCCGGCACACCACAACCGACTGGTGTCATTTGAATATGTCTATTGGTTATAATATGCTATGTTACACTATCATTACGGCTAGATTGCCCCGACTACAAATATATATATATATATATAAATATATATATATATATGTATACACACATACATACATATACAGTTGATGAAATACAGAAATGCAAACCAAACTGACACACAAGGGAGATCAGTAGTAAATAAACTAACAAACTTGCATTAATACAAATATTAAGATGCCTGTAAACATATTCTTGTGGACACACAATGCAGTCCATATATTGGACATTGATTTGGATATTGTTAAGAAACAGCAATGCTCTGTGAGTTCAACATGACCCCCTAATCTGGTGTGCTACAAAACGCCACCACCACAGTGGATCACTGAATAATGTTTGCATTGATAGAGAATACTGATTTGTCTAAAGTAAAAAGGAATAGAAAGTGACTGCATATCTTCTCTAGTGATGCTCTTCGGAGCACATGCTACCGTGTTTTTAGATTTCTACATTACACAAGTTGAAGGCAGTTGACAAAGGCAATAGATTTCCAACCATGTGTTAAACAAGCTGACTTTTTCTAAAATGTTACATTACTTATACAGTTAATGTGGAATGTTATGTCAAATAAGTGTGAATTCTTAGACAGTTCGTGGATTTTTAATGTATATAACATCAACTGAATGCTTCTAGTGTGTTTTTCTACAAATCAAATCAACAAAACAGCAAATTATGTGTAAATTCCAAATGCTTATTGCCTGCACTGTTCAACTAGTAATCTGCAGATATTCTTGGACACCGGAAGTGATGTCATGTTCTGGACAGACTACCACGGCAGAAAAGATACCAAGTCCTTGCAATCCACCACACAAGAAATGTTCCCAGAATTTAACCACCAGTCTTACATCCTCCGAACAACCTAGGCAACAGTTAGATTTTGTATCAGATTGTATATACCGAGGGACCAGATTAGGAATGGAGACCACATAATTCAATTTCATTCTATAAATATTTGACTTTAGTTTATAGCCTATAAGAGGGTGTTTATATAACTTAGGCCTCAATTTAATAACCTTTCAATACTCTTATAAATATTTTCTAAATGATTTATCTCCAGAAATTGCCGTAGACCTTAGTGGTGACCTCTGTAAATAAAACATTTGGAAAGCTTATTAAATCAAGATCAATCTGTTTTACATTTTTTATGGAAATCCTCTCTTAACTTGCTTCAGTGAAGGCATTATGTACTTGCAACAGACCTTGTGGCCTGACAATGTTACACTTAAACATAGAAACTACTAATATCCTCTAAGTTATTAACCACTCCTGCCCGGAACCATTTTTAGGAAGTTATAAATAATTGAGTTAATATGTATGTCGCCTTTTGTCTTTTCAAGGTATGAAGAAAGACAGAACACTGCACAAAGGTTAGGGTCATCGCTAAGTCAAAATACTAATAGTGTGAAAAGTCATACATACTAAATGGGTGAATGAAACGTGGTTGCAGGACCACAAATGGCCATCATATGCATAACCGAATATGGCCTTGATTTAATATCGTTGGACAAGCTTTCCTAATGATCTAATATTTTTGGATAAACTTTTTAAATAATGTAACATTATGAAAATATTTTAATTTTGTAATATTTTGATATCTTTGATGTAACGATATATTTTTATGTATGCTATATTCTTGATAATTTAATATGTTGAAGAAAATCATTTTAAAAGTTTATCCAAAGAAATGGAATCATTTGGAAAGCGTATCCAACAATATTAAATGGAAGCCTATATGTGTTCATGTGTTAAATAACTTCTGGATGAGTCTCTGCTGCAGCATGCATTAATCCGCCTCTGGTGAAGGCCTGTGCTTGACTGTGATTAACCTTCTTCTTTTTTTTTCTATGTCTTTACCCCTGGCCCACTTGAGACCTATTGGACCTTTAGCTACATTGCATTGATACTTAGACAGATAAAATTAGTTGGCACAAATAATGTGTCCTTTTATCCATCCAAGTAAAATTCTTTACTTACTTGGTCTTAAAGATTAGGTGTTGTGGCATTAACGATATAGTAATATGACATGAACAGGATGTTTGCATTTTTTTGTTTACTGCTTGTGTGCATTGGGCCCAATTGATACTCTACTGGTCCTTAAACATGTCACCATGTTGATCTGCTAAGGCAAAAATAGATGGATGAAAGTACGGAGTGTAAGAAGAGGAGTGCATACTTTTCTGAGCAATATTCAGGGACTTTCCCTTTTTGGCCACCTTTAGTACAAATCTTGAAATAAAATGGGCATTGTACTTCGTGGAAGTGGCTTACACAAATATCTGGGGCTACTGTGTGTTTCACGTAGGAGAAATATGTTTGAAACTTTGGTTGAGGAATTGACATTGGGCCACTATTAATCCGAATGCTTCTCAATAAAACTTCTCTTTGGCACTTTGCCATGGCACATATGGGCAGGGAAACACATGTTGAGAACTGCACTTGAGTGGGAATTGTCTTTTCTGACTTAAGTTTTGTTCACCCTTATTGAAATTTGCACCTTCCATCAGCCTAAAAAAATGGAAAGAGTTTATTAAATATAATTTTTGATTAGCTTTATAAAATTCATACTGCAATAGAACTGGTTTAGCCCTAACACCATGCATTAGGAGTTTAATTTATTCAATTACTTCCTTCTATTATATATTTAATCACATCAGTGCTAAACCGTTGACCAACTCATTTTAGTAAAAGCCTTTGGCCCTAAAACTGTTAATTTTCTCTAAACTGTGAGTTATTCTATTCTCTGCTTTAATCACAATTATTATAGTACTATTTCAATCATATAAATTATTGTCTTTGAGTTTGTGTTTAGCACCATGGAACTGGAAGCAATTGACATTTATATAATTCTGTCAAGTAGTTTGAAATAAAATTTTGAGTCTGTACCTTCAACCGTAGTTGATTTGTTGGTTTTATCTTTGAGTAATTACTAAGATGTCACTATTAAAATGTATTACTCATTACAATCAACTACAGTATGCTATAAACAGAAGTGTACCAACAGCCCAGACTACCTTTAGCTGTGCAAACAAACTCTGCATAACACAAACCTATACTTTTTGTGACTGGCTTTCTGTCAATGGGTGGCCACTAATTTATTATATATGTTTCTTTTTCTTTCTTTACACTCCTCCCAATTGGGGACATGGGAGTATTCAATCAGTGGCATGTCGCTGATTAACCAATTGGTGTTTGCACTGGGCTTCTCTAACCAATGCTTGCTTGTTTTCCTAAATTAAATTCGTGTTGGGTTTTCATTCATTCCTGTAGAGTTTTGATTGATCCAGTTTTTTTTGATTGACAGCAAACTGACTCAGGACAACAGGATAGAGAGTCCAATTCCCATTCTACCATTGCCAACTCCTGACGCTGAGACAGAGAAACTGATAAAAATGAAGGATGAAGAGGTAAGTACTACTCTACCACAAGCTCCAGATCTTCCTCATCATCTCTAACTTTCCTTTCCTTCTGTCTTCCTAATAGTCAGCTCCTTGCCATTTTTTAAATTAACCAATACCAGACATACCACTAGCATTGGTGGAGTCTCTATCATTCTAACAAGTAAATGTTATGCTATTTAAAAGGGCAATCTCAGCCTCATACCAATGAAAGCTCACTGCAGTGGTTATGGTGCAAAAAGTATCTGGCATAGTCCCCCAGCTAAATAACCGGCTTCCAGGTCACTCAGCCTGTCATTGCCATCAAATGTTGGACAGGCTAATGTGGCACTATTATATCAGCCAAGATTTACACTTGGGCTTTAGGTCCTAGGAAAGCCCTATGTTTGTGTCAAACCACTCAAGCAGTTTGATGATAACTGGTGGAGATATGACCCAAAGACTCTTTGCACTATAACTACTACAGTGATCTGTATGATATTTGAAATGGCCCTTTTAGGACTTTCCATCTTTTCCCTTAAAGAGATCCTAAAGTGACAGGAAATCAAACCCGTTTTCCTGGCACTCTCGGCTCTTGGAGAGCCCCCCTCCCTTGGCGCTGAAGGGGTTAAAACCCATTCAGCACCGGGTGGTCCTTTAATACTGTATATACTTATGTAACTTCATCAGAGATGATGGTCAATGGCCAAACCAAGATGCAAGGACGGTAGTTTTATAACAATATATAACAAAGGAAGCGTAAAAGGCATGTGAAGAGATGAAATATGATATTGGAAATCAAAAAATGCGACTAACACACATTTATTGGAGCTTTGTACATTGAATAATGAGTTATAATAAGGAATTCAATGGTAGAGTGGAACTTAAGTTCCAAGGTCACCCCTTCATATTCTAAGCTCATGCCTTGATGTATGTTATATATACGATGTCAGTAATATATCTGTTTTAATACTTTCTCTTCTTTTTAATATCTGTCAGTGTTATTTACTAAACAATGGATAGTTGGGAAATGACAAGGGAATTTAAAACGTTAAGCCAAAATGACAGCTTCTCATCTTTTCCAGGTTAACTATTGTGGCCCAAGTATAAAAGTCCCTGTTTAATTCTAAGCATTTCTTGGCTTAGTGAATAACCCAGAATGTGTAAGTCATGGCCAATATAACTCTCCCTCTCTTTTTCCTCCAGCTTCGAAGGATGCAGGAAATGTTGCAAAAAATGCAGCAACAGATACAAGAGCAGTGAGCTGCCCGTCATGACGGCACTTCCCCCTCACGTTTCCCACACCCCAAGCCTATCACCTCTAGGACCAGTACTGAGAAGGATGTGATGTCTACGGACTCAACGCTGTATCTTATTTATTACTCTCAGCACCCGTCCAAAACGAATGCCTCCTTCTGTTGACTGACCTCTCCCATTCCATCGTGATATCACTGTTATGGAGCCAAGCACTTCACATTTAGGCTAATCAAATATTTTATTTTTTATTTCTATCATTTGCCCTTCATCCTAAAAAAAAAGGCTGTGAAAAACAAACAAACCTGGATATGTTTAAAAAATTGTGAAACAAGAAAGACACAGCCCACAGCCTTATGGGAAAAAATGTCCCAGAAACGAATGCTTACTTTAATTCAAGAGAACACATCCTGTTTCTTCCACCAGGCTGTGTCCGTAAAGCAGAAGGTGCATTTATCGAGGGGTGGGGAATGAAATTTTGTTTTGTACCTATATGCTTGTCATTGCTACAAGAAAAGCTTGTGTTATTTTTTATTTGTACAGTGTTGCAGTATGTTGGACTCAGGACCTTTTTTTGTATCAATGTTTATTCACAGTAACTGTTACTCAATAAGTAACCCACTGAGGAAGGAGGAAGTCGTGAAAGGGTGAACAGTGTATTGGCATAGAGTGTCCACTTCTAACACAGAATCAATATGAAAATGTGATGTGATGGAAAGCCATTATTAGACCGCAGATGGACAATAGGTAAATCCCCCAGCTGTTGTAGAACTACCGTGACAAAACATCTAGGTAGTTATTGCCACCCATTCAGTAGACATTTGTTCTTTCCAGCTGTATAGTATAGGGGAGTGAATGGTGTGGAAAAGTGTTAGTGAAGCTAGGGTAAGCATTCAGTTTAGGTAATGAATACACATTATGTAGGGATATTTTGCCGAAAATAGGTGCACACAAGCTGTAGGTTGAAGATCGGGGGTGCCCAAAAGGCCTACAATATCCATGATACATAGCCATTATATAGTCTGGCAAAGCATCTTGGACATTGTAGTATTACAACATTTGATCTGTCTTCTAGGCACCCCTGTTTTAGATTATGCGGAATCAGGATAAATGGATGGGGGGGACAAAATTCCAGTGGAAAAAAAATTGTGAACTATGACGTTATCATTTTCTTTAATTAATGCGCAAGAAACAGAGCAAAGGTAAAACTTTTTGCATCAATTTTAAAGCATGAAATTACAGTTGACGACATCCACATTAATATTTGTGACAGGTACAAAAAAAAGTCAGTGTGTTTGTTGCCTTTGAGCTTTTTTCCTATGGTTACTCCATCTCTCTAGCTAAGGTGATTTTAAACCAATAGCAATTCTGTGTCGACATGCACACACAATGCAGTAATTTAATGCAAACTCCTGACATATATGTGTCCTATTATACTAACAGTAACTTTGAGTACTGCAAAGAGGACCAAGCATCCCCTCACTCTCCAGCTGATGCAGACTGATGACTGGAGTTCCAGAGGTTGACTGTCCATTATTACAACCTTTGTATAATCTGTTTTAACATGATCTGATGTTTACTTTTGGGGGTTTATTCTCTATACAAGTTGTGGTGAATTGACACGTTATTTGCCAAAGTTGGAAAAATGTTTTATTATAGTTTTTTGGTACATGGAAGAAGCAGGAGTCAACATGACAAAAGAACATTTTAGAGTGTCATAATATGACATCAGGAGGTTACAAGAGAAATTGCCACATTTTGTTAAACATATTTTTTAGCTCAGTACAACTGTTTTGCAAATGAACCTCTTACTGCAAATTGAATGAGTTTATCTACTGTTAAATTAATGTTTTCTTTTAGTTTGCGTATTCAGCACTTTCCTTGAAATACACTATGTAGTCTAACCTGATGGGAACCCCACTTTCATAGAAGGGACCAAGCATATCATTTTCATTAGCTGCTGACCATGTAAATTGCATTTAGCGGTTCTCTGGAGATCAATATTTTTATAGAATCACTTTACCATTTTGCGTCCCATTACCAGATGGCGTCCCAAGGTACTGCCATTCTTGGCAATAGAGGAAGAATAAGGAAAAATGTGAGAGCAGAGCAGAATATATACCTAACACTGTGCCCATTTAAATGTCAAGACATTTGCAATGTGCTATACATCGTGCATTGTAATAACAACCAGTGGTTAACCAACTTTGTGCCATGAAGACTTGCAGTTCAAATTCTTCAACATGTCACCAATACATGTGGACACGTATTCTTTAGCTATGTCCCTGAGCCTCTAGCCATGCAAAATTGTTAAATAGTAAACCAATCTTGATATAACTTATATCCAATCTCAATATATCTGTATATTCCAAGCTTTGTTACTTTGTGTCCACTGAACTTATTACACAAAACACTGCTGTCTCCTTTGCCATGTATTGCAGTCTCTTTTTACGCAGTAATAAATCGCAGTTATTGTGTGAAATTTAAAAGCGGACCTGTCACCATGGGAACAACAGGAATATTGCACATGGTTCCGACACTCTTAGTCCCATAATTCCTCTGTATACACAAACACTGTATTGTTTAATTAATAAATTTGAAAATGCGCCCATACTAAGAATAGCTCATCCAGACTGTTCACTTTCAGATAATCACACACTGTTATCAAAGTGCCACAAACACCACACAAAATGTGGTGCCATAGGCACGCCACATGGACCACAATTAATTGTGTAATGTCAAACCATTAGCAATGGGTGTAAAGATTTTCCAGCTATACATATCACAGTTACAAAGCTCAATGTGAGCTACTTTCCAGAATGAGACACCTGTTCACTGCCTTCTGATCGGTGCTTAGCTTCCTGAATTCTGATTGCATCAAAACAACGGGAGTTACTGGGAGATTAAAACGAATCATGCAAAATCCCTGGTTGAGATTGAATTTACTATTTAAGTGTAGATTGAAACTGGTTCAGCAGCTAGACTTGCTAGAGGCCGAATAGGTAAACTTTAACTTCATCATAGTCAAATATCAACTTCACCTTCAACCTCAACTTATAGACAATTTGAAAATAAAGGGGTTAAGTAGACCCCACTGCCTGTTAATCCTGTGCCTATGTCGCCTTACAAATAAAGTGCAACCCTCTGTCCAACAGTAACCCACCTCCTACAGTGCATAACTGACCCCTGAATATTTCTTATAATGATTGTTGCTGTAAGTTATGTTTACAACCTGAGAATCCTAATAAATATTTAAAAATGACTTGCACTGATGTGACTTTAGTAGGTACTGTGTGTTTCTAAGATTCCATTCTTACTCTGTGTATAATACCTGTCCTTTTTCATGCAAAAATATCACACTTCCAGTAATTAAAGCTGTAATCAAGTGTATAAACCAAACTAAGAGATTTCTGTTACCTGGCCAATGCACAAGCACTATTGCAAGGTAACTCTGATAGGGTAACAATGATGCCGTTGCACCAAGTATGTTGATGCTTTGTGCATTATATAACTAAAATGTTCAACTTTGTTTAACCAACTGTAAAGAGGCTCTGTTGTACTGATAGTTTTGGATTTTTTTTTGTCTCTTTTTTTTTGTGTGTGGATTGATGGCTGAATTTCCGCAGTTAAAGGACCACTATAGTGCCAGGAAAACATACTCGTTTTCCTGGCACTATAGTGCCCTGAGGGTGCCCCCACCCTCAGGGTCCCCCTCCCGCCTGGCTCTGGAAAGGGGAAAAAGGTTAAAACTTACCTTTTCCCAGCGCTGGGCGGGGAGCTCTCCTCCTCCGATCCGCCCCGTCGGCTGAATGCGCACGCGCGGCAAGAGCTGCGCGCGCATTCAGCCGGTCGCATAGGAAAGCATTCATAATGCTTTCCTATAGACGCTTGCGTGCTCTCGCTGTGATTTTCACAGTGAGAAGCACGCAAGCGCCTCTAGCGGCTGTCAATGAGACAGCCGCTAGAGGCTTTGGGGGAAGGCTTAACGCATTGATAAACATAGCAGTTTCTCTGAAACTGCTATGTTTATAAAACAATGGGTTAACCCTAGAAGGACCTGGCACCCAGACCACTTCATTAAGCTGAAGTGGTCTGGGTGCCTAGAGTGGTACTTTAAGACAAAATGGCTAAGCTGGAGGCAAATCTCAGGTCTTTGGGTTTGGAGCAAAGATAGGCAAACTTTTGGAAGAACTGTGCCAAAGTAAAAGTTTAAAGTTCTCTAAAGTACCAGCACTATCTTTTTTATACATGTAGCATTGACAGCTGTGTGTCCTAGGCTGCCATTGCCATCTGCATTGTGGATGCAGAGTGTGTCTGTGTATCGGTGGTGGCTAGTTCATTGTGGCAGCACCCCACCAGTTTTTATATGTGGAAAAAAGATTTGCAGTAGCTTAGAAACAGCAAGATTCTATTTCTGGAGAGGAGAGTGATAAACCAAATAAATATGGGGAAGCAATAGTATCTAGAGACATGAGCAGTCAACGTTTCAGTCTATGCAGACTTTTTTCAAGACTTGAAAAAAGTCTGCATAGACTGAAACGTCGACTATTGTGTTTATCACTGTTTTTGCTTAATAAAGCAGCAGTTTGAATTTACTTTATCAAGACTTCAGAGTGCTCTCTACTAGGTATATATATAACCCCAGGGGTGACAAGGGGAGGGAGACATTTCAGACACAAAGCACTGTGTTGCCTGTCACCGTTAGTTTTAATAACTTATGCTGCACATACCCATCATTAACTCCTTATGGACAGAGGCAATTGTACAAGTTCTTACCAAAACAAAACCTGGAATTTGAGCTATATGTCTGTTCAGCCATAATTTCCCCTCTTTTGTACTCAGTGCGCTACCACACTTATCAAATATAATTATTTTGTTAAGGAGAAACAGGGCTTTCATTTCATATCAAATATATTTTATATGAATAACAACAAAAAATGAAACTGTTACCATAACTGGGCGATCATTTTCACGATTGTTTTCTCTCGGTACCCTGTTTTGTAAGTCAAATCCACAAAAATATATATATTTCAAATTTAATAAATTTAAATAATAATTTAAAGTGAATAGAATCTAAAAGAAAATGGGAAATTAAGAAATTTTATTTTCCAAGTTCTGCATGGCATATTAAATGTGAATATCATAATACTGTTTGCTTTTAGTGCAATAAAACACTTGCATGTGTATTCAGCGATGTGTCATGAGTAGCATGGTTGAAGCAGTTTAAAAAAATTCTAACAGCATTTATTCCCTCCCTTCTGCCTCTTTCCTATGGCCAGGAAGTAGGGACAGTAGATTCCCCGGTGGCACAGCAGCTTTTATAGTGAAGAGGCCCAGGTGACGCCTTGTTACATCTCTGGCAGTCAGGGAGCAGGTCAGAGCTGCATCAGAGCATTGCTATGGTAACACATGCCAACACTTTACCTACCAGAGGTGAAACTTGGAGTCACCTGGGCCTCCCTCGCCAGCATATACACCTTGTGTACCTGGGCTCTGCACAGCTGTATTTGCTGATGTTTTTGGCCTTGTGTGTGTTGTGACATTGCTTAAACATGGCACACTGGCTAAAATCATATGATCTAAAGAAAAAGTTATAACTTTAATAACAGTAAATAAAATCGCATGTTAGATGTAATAACACAAATAACATACGTATTCCCTGCAAATTCAGATGGCTCTCTGACGATCTAGTCATTGACAGGACTGTACAAAGTGCACACTTTAATTGGGTGAGACTTGTATTGTAAAACAACGTACATACTGCTCAGTGTATAAAACATGCATTGTTCTATTTAATATGAAGATACTGTTATATTGTTCATATGCCTATACATGACTCTGTGTTTAAAACATGCATAGTATGCAGCTCAGTGTGTGTGATGCAGGTAGTTTATGGTGTGTTTCATTATGATACACACACTACTCTGCATATAAAAATATAAAGAGGCTGATCTATGTCCTTTTTAATCAGAAAGTTTACTGTTGTCATTTTAAACAGACACACACTGGCATCTAATACATGAAATGCATTATATTTGATCTATTGATATTTTATATATTATTTATAAAACATTGCTTGTGGTGCAATACTTAAACACTACCATCTTCAAACCTTCAGTGCTAGTGTGAGCGTAATCAACAGTGCTCCGCTTGCCAAGCCACGTGGCCCACCCCACGTGCAGCTCTGTATTTTTGGCTACGTGCGTGGTTCCCTGGTGTAATCTATATGACAGCTGCCTACTAGTATACCATCAGCTGAGCACAGGGCTTGCCTTGGTTTCCTGCTGCTCACCACAGCTGTCTGTCACAGAGTGTACATTACAGAGAAGGCAATCTCACTGCTCTGTCAGTAAACTGACCACATTGCTCCATCAGGAAATTAACCACACCAACTCGAGGACTCTGAAATGGGCTCTTCAGTGTTCTTGGAACTAAAAGGCAGTTGGTTCATTTATATAACGGGAGCTGTGCAATGACAGCTATATGAATCGAAACTGTCTGTTATCTTTTTATATCTAACCCTTTTAGAGGTAGAGGATCCAGACCAATGTAGTTATCGTTTTTTAAAAGGCTAATAAATGAACAGAGGAGATCACGTACTTTTACTATAAACTTGAGGCATGTCTGTGTGGTTTGACTGGGCCTTTATTGTCCTATGGTTGGTTACATAACTTTATAGAGGTCAGTTAGCTTGTCTCTTGGAAACCCCCACAAACACTGAATGAAGAGGGCTTCTTGGCCAAGTCCTGCAAGCTAAATAAAGTTGCAGTGAGGTTTGGGGAAGGCTGTGAGGAAATTAAGGGTTATGATTATTATAATTATTATTGGTATTAATATAGTGCCAGCTTTTCAATATAGTAAAGAGGGGAATTTAAGAATAAATGAGACAATTACAAAATGTTATGGGAACAATAGGTTGATGAGAATCTTGCTCGAAAAAACTTACAGCCTGGTGGAAGTGGGGTATGAAAACACAATGGGAATGGTAGCGTGGGGGATAACAATCAAGTGACAGGGTTGGAAAGTAGCAGATTTGGAAGGTGTGAGTGAAGTGAAGAGTGAAGTGAGACTGGAGCTGTAGCAAGCCGGTACGGTTTCTGGGGAGACCAGTTAGGAGGGAATTACAGCAACCAATGTGAGAAATTACTAGCATGAACAAGCTTCTAAGCAGCATCTTGAATAAGAAAGGGGCGAATGTGGGCAATATTTTTGAGGTGGAATCGGTAGGATGTGGCAACAGACTGGACATGAGTGTAAAGGTGCATGACAGTTAATGATTGGTACTATTGGAGTCAAGTGTGCCACAGTGTTTGAAGTAAGCTGTTGATAGTATTAAATGTAACCAATAAACATTTCTACATATATTTCTATAACAATTCTTTTATTACTAAGTTCATGACTACATAGTGAATGAACCTTGTTATTATTTTTTCACCAATAGACATGTTCTCATATATACAGGTGATACTCGAAAAATTAGAATATCGTGCAAAAGTTCATTTATTTCAGTAATGCAACGTAAAAGGGGAACTAATATATGAGATAGACGCATTACATGCAAAGCAAGATAGTTCAAGCCATGATTTGTCATAAGTGCGAGGATTATGGCTTACAGCTCATGAAAACCCCAAATCCACAATCTCAGTAAATTAGAATATTGTGAAAAGGTGCAATATTCTAGACTCACTGTTTCCCACTCTAATCAGCTAAGTAAGTCATAACACCTGCAATGGGTTTCTGAGCCTTTAAATGGTCTCTCTGGTTCAGTAGGAATCACAATCATGAGGAAGACTGCTGACCTGACAGTTGTGCAGAAAACCATCATTGACACCCTCCATAAGGAGGGAAAGCCTCAAAAGGTAATTGCGAAGGAAGTTGGATGTTCCCAAAGTGCTGTATCAAAGCACATTAATAGAAAGTTATGTGGAAGGGAAAAGTGTGGAAAAAAAAGGTGCACAAGCAGCAGGGATGACTGCAGCCTGGAGAGGATTGTCAGGAAAAGGCCATTCAAATGTATTGGGGACTTTCACAAGGAGTGGACAGAGGCTGGAGTCAGTGCACCACACACAGACGGATCCTGGACATGGGCTTCAGATGTCGTATTCCTCTTGTCAAGCCGCTCCTGAACAACAAACAGCAACCTGGGCTAAAGAAAAACAGACATGGTCTGTTGCTCAGTGGTCCAAAGTCCTCTTTTCTGATGAGAGCAACTTTTGCATCTCATTTGGAAACCAAGGACCCAAAGTCTGGAGGAAGAATGGAGAGGCACACACTGCAAGATGCTTGAAGTCTAGTGTGAAGTTTCCACAGTCTGTGTTGATTTGGGGAGCCATGTCATCAGCTGGTGTTGGTCCACTGTGCTTCATTAAATCCAGGGTCAACGCAGCCGTCTACCAGGAGATTTTGGAGCACTTCATCCTTCCTTCCACAGACAAGCTTTATGGAGATGCTGACCATTTTCCAGCAGGACGTGGAACCTGCCCACACTGCCAAAAGCACCAAAGCCTGATTCAATGACCGTGGGATTACTGTGCTTGATTGGCCAGCAAACTCGCCTGATCTGAACCCCATAGAGAATCTATTGGACATTGCCAAGAGAAAGATGAGAGACATGAGACCGAACAATGCAGAAGAGCTGAAGGCCGCTATTGAAGCATCCTGGTCTTCCATAACACCTCAGCAGTGCCACAGGCTGATAGCTTCCATGCCACGCCGCATTGAGGCAGTAATTGCTGCAAAAGAGGCCCAAACCAAGTACTGAGTCCATATGCATGCTTATACTTTTCAGAGGTCCGATATTGTTCTATGTACACTCCTTGTTTTATTGATTGCATGTAATATTCTAATTTACTGAGATTGTGGATTTGGGGTTTTCATGAGCTGTAAGCCATAATCATAGCACTTATGACAAATCACGGCTTGAACTATCTTGCTTTGCATGTAATGCTTTGCATGTAATAATCTAAAAAGTCACAACTTTCTGCTGGTAATGTTGCTAATATTAAAAATCATTAACAACTTAAAACTGGGTTTAACCTTAGTCGATATTAATTGCACAATCTTGAGATCGATAATCCGAGGTTGAAAAGTAACATGAAGAAAATTGGATGCATCTTGAAAATGTCTAACCTGACATGTTTTTTTTGTGCAGTGGGGATGATAAGTAACATTAAAACTTTCATTAACTGTTGTGTTCCAACAAATCATTACCGTACGTGTCTTCAACCATGTCCAAATCAGACATTTTGGGTATAGTGTATATGTGTATTTACTATATCACAGATTTTGCTTTGTTGGTAGATGCTTTTTTGTGTTTTAATTTGTTTAACTGATTAACAATGAATTATTTTTTTTATATATAAAAAGTTGTTGATGTTGCTTTCAAATGTCATCAGCAGCCATTAAAATGTTGCAATATAAAACAATAGATTGTAATACAACCTTAAATTTGGTAATAATAACATCTACGCCTCAGTATTTCCTGGTTTAAGGTAAATACTTCATGGTTGAATACTTTGATATTATCCTTATTTCACTCTTGAGAATAGTTTCACAGAGTATTAATAAATATACAGAAATCATCACCTATATGTGTTATTTAAAAATGTGAAACTTAAGAAACCTTTTTATATTTGATCTAAATATCCATGGATTTATTTAGTTTCACATTTGTCACTGATCGTCTTCAACAGTAGGAACTGGGTGTGACTTGTAGGAAGGGGTTAACTCTTGCAACCTGCATTGGGCTCCTTTAAAATGCTGTTCTCTTATCTTTGGCGTGCACTCTGTCGCTGTCATACAGTTTGTTTGGCAGTGTCATCTCAAACGCAGTGGCCTTGAGGACCAGGAAATCTGCATTGTACGGGGTAGGTCTTGTGGATTTCTTTTATTTATTTAAAAACTTTTTCGCAACACTCTCAAATATAGTGAATTGTAATATGATTGGCAAAAGTTATGCTAAAATAGACAAGGAAAAAAAGTTACTTGCGCACTGTTGCCAAATCCCTGTGCATATTTATATAAATGGAGGTTTTTAGTTCCACTCCAATGACCATTAGATGTAAGCCCACCTGCCACGTCAAGGCAAACCTCGTAGTTGGGTCCTATACTAACAATTCACCTTGCTTGCTTCAGCTTAAGGCAAAAGAAAATCTCTAATGAGACACAGAGGGGTATTTTTTTTAAACCCCTACATGCTTATTAACTCTTAATAGGGTACACATCCCATGTGTTACCTATTAAGGGTTAATAAGAATCTAAGAGGTTTGCCTTTGACTTGGCAGGTGGGTTTACATCTAATACCCATTGGAGTGGAACTAAAAAAAAACCATTTATATAACAACGCATAGGGATTTGGAATAGTACGCAGGTGACTTCTTTTCTTTGGTTTCTATTGTATGTATTGGGGTTGATGTGTACTATGGTCATTGCTGCTTCTCAGGAGTAGTGGGAGTTTGAGTGCAGGACTTTTTTGTGTTTTTGTAAAAGGGATGAATTTGTTTTTGCAAACAAGCTATTTTTGCCTAAATTTTGCTTATCAGATTTTTTATTGCTGCAAAACTGAAGCTAAAATAGCTGATCTGAAAAAAAGATGTAAACTCAGCTATAGTCATACCTTGGCTGTTTTAAAATTTGGAGTTTAGTGAATAAATCTATAATAGAAAATTAACTGCATTTTACATCCTCAACATTGTGTCAGTCCACCTCTGAATTGTGTCAGTAAAACCCTGAATTACATTGTCTTTTTAGTATATCAAATTGAAAAGGAAAGACCAATGACATAACACTGAAATAGGGCAAACTCACTCAGGAAAAACTCTGTAATGAAATCCTGAACAGAAACCGTATAAACTGAGAATTAAAAAAATAATAAGCACCTTGTGGCTGCTTTTTATTTACCCTCAAACTACCTCCTGAAATGAGTCACTGAGAAATAAATAGTAGGTCTAATTAATAGTGGACCCTTAGTAGACTTGTGCATAAATGCTTTGCAACTGGCACAAACAAATAAAATGCATTTTATTCTGAATAAACTGAACCAATCCTGGGATTTACCTGTAGAGTCTTATTAACTGAATAAGACTCCCCAGATAAATCCCAGTCAGATCAATCATTCGGGTACAGATTAAAAGGCATTTGACTCGTTCTTGCCATCTGCAATGCATTTGCACGCAAGCCTAATCTTAATGGCCTCCATTTCATTTTATAAACATGATTTAACCTGTTGCTTCTGTGGTTAGTGTAAAAATATTTATATTTCTTTAATTTTACCTGCAAAAAAGATATTACTGAATCTGCGTCTGAATGCTAATTTCGTGCTTGAGAAATATCTGAATTCTTATATATAGGATTTTGTCATTCCCAGGAAGCAAATTAGCAAATTTTTTATCGCCAAATCTACATCTCTCTAGATTTCTCTTTGTGAATATGTAAATGTAAATTCTGGATCGATTTTTGGAGGCACACTCAAAGCTCAGTAATTGAACTGCAAAAATATCATAATAATGTGATAATATTAACATCTGTGGTCACAGTATTTGCATATCCAAAAAATGGGCATCCGGTGGCAAAGTTGTATAAAATGCATACATAAGACATCCATTTCAGGAAAACAGCAAATGCAAAAACACTGACATTTGATTATGTATAGTGATCAAGAAACCAACATTTTTTAATTATATTTGCAAGACTAATAATTGTGAAGCATTCAGAATAATACACGCCATTAATTGTGCAGTATGTTATAAATTATACATGTAGAACTTGGAATTTTCATGTGGAATACATTTTTTATGCCAGACAGACATGCATTATTCAAATTATAATTTATATCACTGGTACATAATAAAGAAAGTAAAACACAAACAGGTGAATGCATTTCTAGAACACATATTTAAGAAACTAAGAATTCAAGGGGAATTCAATGTGAATTCTGATTTTAAGGGCAGATTAGCCGAATTGAAAGCATAGCTGATTATATAATATTTCAGTTTGGCTATTTTTATTTATTTTTTTCTTTAATTTATTGGACATTTATGTAACAGAATTGCAATGTTTCCGTTTTCATTAAATTTCCTACATAGAGGGAGCAAGAGAAAAACAGCAATGAATGTTATAAAACTTGCATGATTAACAATGAAATATCTCAAAATTTTTGTTAATTGCATTCAGTTATACAGGAAGCAAAACAAAACTTACAAAAGGTAATGCATTGTTAAAAAAAATATATAAAAATGGTTAAAGGACCACTATAGTGCCAGGAAAACATACTCGTTTTCCTGGCACTATAGTGCCCTGAGGGTGCCCCCACCCTCAGGGTCCCCCTCCCGCCCGGCTCTGGAAAGGGGAAAAGGGGTAAAACTTACCTTTTTCCAGCGCTGGGCGGAGAGCTCTCCACCTCCTCTCCTCCTCCGATCCGCCCCGTCGGCTGAATGCGCACGCGCTGCAAGAGCTGCGGCGCATTCAGTCGGTCACATAGGAAAGCATTCTAATGCTTTCCTATGGACGCTGGCGTGCTCTCACCGTGAAAATCACAGTGAGAAGCACGCAAGCGCCTCTAGTGGCTGTCAATGAGACAGCCACTAGAGGATTAGGGGGAAGGCTTAACCCATTCATAAACATAGCAGTTTCTCTGAAACTGCTATGTTTATGAAAAAATGGGTTAACCCTAGAAGGACCTGGCACCCAGACCACTTCATTAAGCTGAAGTGGTCTGGGTGCCTAGAGTGGTCCTTTAATGATGTAAAATGTTCAGCAGCATTTGATTCATCGTATTAAAATACCTTGTTTGCTTTAAAGTGTAGCAGAATAGCATATAACATAAAGTATTTTATTATTTCCAGTCTAATTCTCACTGTTAAGGAATATTGTGATTGCTATAATATGCTATAAGCGCGGGTGCCATATAAAATGGAATATAAAGTAAATAAAATATATGACACAAGCTCAGAATCTGACAAGACAGTTACATATTCCTTTATATGTTTAAACGCTTTAAACTAGAGTCTTGTTTCTGTAAAAAAAAAATGTTAATTATATTTCATACATCTAGCTTCTTTAAAGATAAGTAAAATCTTGAATAGCATGTTGATTATCATATATGTAAATAAACTAGCTAACATGATTGTCCTCTATTTACAGAAAGTAGGTAATGGGGATTGTGGAGGACGGAAATAAGGAAAATAAAGTTGAATTGTAATAGGGAATTGCAATATTGTAGAACTCAGATGGCAGAATAGGAAGAATTCAAGGGCAGTTGATTTTATAGTTTAAACAATGCGACACTCAGTCCGGAGAGTCAGTCCCAGTGGGGAGGATTGGAGGGGTGTTAACTAGTTACAGTAAAATCCATATAACAAAAATGTCTTGTTCCGGTTTGATTTTCCAGCACATTGGATTTAAAATGAAACAACGGCTAAAATGAAAAATTGTATCAACTGTAATTTACATCTATTTTCCTTAGATTAATGCTCGAATAAAAATAAAATACATAACTTCCTCCGTTTGATACTAATAATTGGGATGTGCCTATTGATGCAGTGTTCTTTGCCCATACTAGTAGTGGACAGTAACTAAAACATGTCAGCCAAACTTACCCATCTTATTATTTCAATGGAAATACTAAGCATTCCTCATAAACCTTTTCTCAACGGTGATAGATAGCTCAGCACTTCCATTCTTCAGAAAAAGTCAATCAAACCGCCGCCAAAGCTTGTGGCAGAAATGGCCAAATGATACCAGCTTAGTTATACTGTCATTCATACTTCCATTTAGAGTTAGTCAGAGAGGCCTTGTATAGCGCCACCCAGAGGATAGAAGTCATCCAAGTACATGTTTGTCCAGAGGCAAGCATTGCTTCTCTTGTAGGAAGTATAGGAAGTAGGCCTAAATAGGAATTTAGGAATAACGTACGCAGACAGACGTGGAACTACTCGGACATAACCTGGACAAGGAGCATACATTATTATGGTGTTTGGCGTGTCCCTTTATCTAACTGTTTATTTTGGAAACATTTTGTTTTTGCTCATATGTTTTCTAGGTAAAACACATGTCCATTTGATTTCAACTGTGGTGATTTATTGTAGGTTCATTTAGGTAATTTAGGTACATTCCACTTTTTAGCTTTGAAAAATAGCATTTTTTTTTCTCTAGCAATATCTTTGGGGCCATTTTCCTGTAGTACTGTAAAATGTCTTTTAAGTTGTGAGGCCTTTGGTAGCATCTAAGCAGATAAGATGTTTCTGCCCAATTCAGCGTTCATCTTACTGCTGCCGTCATCAGTCACGTTATCAAGACAAAGGAGTCAGCTCCAGGAAGAACGTTACACACCCATGCCATAACACCACTTCTACCATAAGAAATGGCATTGTATGCCTTGAATCGTAGACTGCCATAGACCAGAGATCACCATAAAGAGATACCATCCCCCCCAGGGAAATCTATCTAGCATGCCCAGAACTACCAAAAATTAACAAACATAAAAGGTTGAAATTCAATAAGTTTGTAGAATCACCCAAATAATGTAGTTAACAACATATATATGGGAAATAAATGTTTCAAAGTTCATATCCTAAGAGCTTTACATATTAACAAGTTTATAAGAAGAATATCATTGTGGAAGCTCTACTAAACCTTAGGATCCCAATGCTTCTGTGTGGGAAGTTTGCCTGGGAGAGCCTTACTAGTAAGTGTCTCCCAAAAGGCAGAGTAATGCTGTAGCAAGGAGACAATATTGGCCCTAGATTAAAGGTAAGTAAAGTCTGTTTTATGGAAATGGGGTACCAGTAAGAATGCAACAATTCAGGGTTCCAAACATATTTATGTATTATGTTGGAATGTTCCTTTACCAAACGTCTGAATTGTATTTTTTTTTTTTAAATGAGCAGGCCAAGCACCTTCTCCCTCTCCTCTTTTATTATTCATTTATTTATTATTCATTTATTTATGATTATTTTTTATTACTAAAATAATTCTTACCAACTGTATGATCCCAATTTTCCTCCCATTACTTTGGTGTTTATTCACTAAAACAGAACAGTATTGTAATTCAGAATTTTCCCAAATTAGCATTTTTTGTCAAACGTTTACAGTTTGGTTTTTAGTCCATTATATTTTGCTTTTTAGTTAATAGAACCTTGTTTTTCATTGCGTTTTACAGTAGAAAAATTAGAAGTAATAATAACGTGTCATTTAGTAAGAGTCAGTGTTTATATGGTTTAGACAAATTATTGCACAGTAGGTTAGAACCAATTGGCCCTTAGTGCCTGTGTATCCCTATCTAAAATATTCAGCCTAAATGGACTTCATCTCATTTCTTCCTTGGCTTACTCATGTAGTATAAATAGCTTCTATTTATGACATCACTTTCATCCTCTTTATTTATAGTCTATGGTAACTCACGGAGTGTGCATGCAGTATGAAGTAGTAGTGAGTGTACTTCTTGTGCCTAAAATGTTATTTATAGTGAGTTGGTTTTACAGTAGCATAGAATATCAACTTAAATTTCTTCCATGTGTATTTCACAGATTTCTCATGCTAATGTCACAGATTATGTCATCTTCAGAATTATCCGGTAGAAAAAGGCAAACTTTAGGAAAGTCGAACTCAATCTGATACAGTTTAGAGCTACAGGCCAATGTGAGCCTCTTTTGTACGAAGACCTGTTTTTTGCATGTGTGCCCAGTAAGCGTACCATCATTCACAAATTATAGACTTAGATTCATTCTCACTAATCTTTACCATGCAGCTTTTGACATCTTTGCTTGCCAGATAACTACTGTGCCAGGGTGGTGTGTCTTTAGCCAGGGGTGCCCAGCAAGTATGTCCCAATAACCATGTCTCCCAATGCACAGCAACAATGCTAGATTGAGAAATTTGCTGTGAGCAAAACTCACAGAGTGTTGACAAAAACGTTACAGACAAATACCTCTGTATACTTCACATGAAAAAGTAGTGGAAGTTGCGAAAAAAAATTGAGGATTTCCAATTCTTAGTCTGCTCACATCTGCATGGACTTAAATGAACACTATGCGGTCAGGAATACAAACGTGTATTCTTGACCGACCCTATAGTGTTAAAAAACCATGCTAGGTGGCTGACCCCTCCTTGCCCCTTAAATAAACATAAAACTCACCATTACTCCAATGCGTGCGTCTGTTTCACTTCCTTGGCTGAGATCATCATAATTGACTAAGGGAAAGCATTGTATTAGCTGAGATTGTCAATTCTGCCAAACAATGTGCTGGCCAATCAGCATCTCCTCATAGAGATATTTGGATTCAACGTATCTCTATGAGGAAAGTTCAGAGTCTCCATGCAGAAGGTGAAGATGCTGAATGTCAGTGCTGCACACTGTACAGCATTGGCCCAGGAAGCACCTCTAGTAGCCATCTGAGGCGTGGCCAGTGGAGGTATCTCTAGGGTGAAATGTAAACACTGCATTTTCTCTGAAAATGCCTGCATTGACTGACTATACTTACCAAAACAACTATATTAGCTGTAGTTGTTTTGGTGACTATAGTGTCACTTGAACAAAGCCAGCTCAATGCTTTTGTCAACAAGCTATAAATTACAATAAACGTTTTAGAGTGATGGGGTTTTAAATTCAGGGAAAGTTCAGCGCAATACATTTCTCGTTCTTTCTGTTTTCACTTGCCACTGTATACCTGAGCTCTCTACGCTCTCTCAGGGAGCAGAGCTTATAACAGTATTTGACCGGGAGTCAAGATGGAGGTGTGGTGTGAATTTCTACATTGAATTTTATATTTCAGACTCTATAAACACATATTTGTAAAATAGAAAATGATACATACACATGCGGACATTTTCTGTTATCTGCCCTCAACTAATTCCAGGGTTATTTCCTGTTAGCTGTCTCCATTATTTGTACTATTTCTAGCGTTCAAATAACAATTCAGTGAGGTTAGTTCCAAACCATCATTTTAAACCTTACCTTAACCCTAAATGTCCTCTTATCTGCCCTCCACTTTTTTTTATTTCTTAGTGTTAGAATAATAAGTAAGGCTAATGGTTAAAAGGTTATAAAATGGTTAAAATTAGAAAAATGCAATTCAATTTAGGGTTAGGCACTTATTTAAATAAGCTAAAAAAGAACTAGATAATAAAGATAGGACCATTCTTTTAAAAAGTAATAAGAAATCTTTTGATAACAAAAAAACTTCTAATAAGAAAAATAGAGATTTGGGTACGTGCTTTATTACAAGATACAATAATAAAGCTAATCAGAGAAAATTATTAAAAAAATTTGGCCCATTTTAAAGCAGGATCAGTATTTGAAAAATATTTTACCTACTAAACCACAGATTATTTATAAAAAGACTCAGAGTTTGAAGTCTATCCTAACACCGAGCACTTTACCTCGTATTAATACCGTAAAAACGATAACATTTCCAGATAAAACCACAGATAATTTTTTAAGGGAGAAACCTTAAGGTTTCTTCAGATATGGAAGCTGCAGTACATGTAAATTTCAGAAACAAAAGACTGTGGAATTTAAGGGTACTGCGACAAAAGAAATATGCAAAATGAAACATTTTATAAACTGTCAAACAACAAATGTTATTTATCTTTTAGAATGCAAATGCGGTATTCAATATGTAGGACGAACAAAAAGGAAATTGCACGTTAGAATCCTGGAACATTTCAATGGTATTAAAAGAGGAAATATGAAACATTGTGTCCCTAGACACTGCTTAAATTGTCCCTATTTTAATTTCAAGGATTTTACATGTATAGGAATAGATTTGGTCACTCCCCATTGGAGAGGAGGGGATATTGAGAAAACCTTGGACATGAAGGAAACCGAGTGGATCCATAGGTTACAAACCTCCTCTCCAAGTGGTTTAAATGTTGATATAGATTTATTAGTTTTTATGGATTGATGCAATTAATATTCCCCCGATTTTATTTAATTTCTCCTCCATATATACTATTTATTTTATTTATCTCCTTCGTTTGATATTCTTGCTATATATATATATATATATATATATATATATATATATATATATATATATATATATATATATATATGTATGTATATTTATTTATTTATTTTTTTACTATTTTATCATTCTTTGGTGCCTTTAACATGTTCCCCTATTTTAGAGACCCCTATTAGGTGTAACCTTGTTAAGGGATATCTCTTTGAAAAGAAACAATTGGTTACTGTAAAAAGAGATGAAGTCTCTTTAAGAAAATGTTTATTTTTAACCTTTGCCTTTTAAATTCTCTTTGCAAACAGATTGCTTTAAAATAGACTTACTACCAAAAGGATTTTTAATTATTTATTTATGTGACGTATTTTTTCGGTTTATTAGTGATTTTTATTGTGTATTTTACTATGTCTTTGATCATATGTATAAATAAAGTTTGTTTTAAGTTTCCCGTGCGCATGTGCAGTAGCGTGTAGCGATCACGCGTGCCGCATTGTTCACAGGTGGATTGCAATAAAGTTGGTTTTGCGTGTCAGGATGGACTGGCGCGCATGCGCGGCAACGTGTTTGCCGTAAAGCGCATGCGCGCACCTGAAAGAAACGCACGAAAATGAAGATTTAAAAAGACAGAAGCAATCAAAGGAAATACAGCTCTTGAAAAAGTCCGACGGACAAAACGCGTTGAGCAGAGGAGCAGAGGCTTGCCAGCACTTCCCAGAAAAAAGATTTTATTTTTTTCTCTGCCTGGGACTTTCCATCCAGGAGGCATTGACAGTGGACTTACGAAAGGGAACTGCATCCAGCAGTGTTGAAAAGCGGTTTTGCACAATTTGAGATATATGTCTCTTTGTGCCATCATTTTTGTGAGTGTATATTGTGATTTTTTTTCTGTAATTTATTGTTATTAAATACTTCACTATATGTGCTCTTTATTTTCTCTTTCATGTCCATCTCCATATTTTTATGGTAAATATATGCACGTGTTGTGATTGTGGCGCCCCCTGGGTATATGTTTTTTTAAACTATACATTTCTTAGGCACTTATTTAGCCTCACTCAATTATTGTTCTAACTCTAACCCTAGAAATAGTGGAGGGCAGGTAACAGGAACAGAAAAAATATCCAAACTAATGATAGTGACAAAAATTCTCAGAGACATCATTGTCCCAGATTCAATGTTCAAATAATGTTTTTAATAGGACCACAGACGCTGATGGATCTTAAGAGCTGGTCTAAGAATTGTTTGTATAGAAGCCTGATCATTTTAGTCTTGAGTATTAAAATCACAGAATTAGTATTTTTGTGAAATTAAGCTCAAAATTATGAGCAGTAAGGTCAGTGCTTGAAGAATTAACTGAAATAACTTTTTGGAATCTCTTACTCATCTTTTATTCATTTTGTTTTTTTAACTAATTTTATTTATTTTTATTCATTTAACTTTACTCATCTTTTTGGAATCTCTTACTCATCTTACTTATCTCTTATTAATATTTGATCATTTTCAGACAAGAAGATGAAGAATTGGTCCTGGCTAATACCCGTGTTCCTGCTTGTGCCTCCCTTAACCTCCTGTTGTCCTTCTGGATGTCGCTGTGGCTCTGGTATTGTGGATTGTACCAATCTTGACCTCAGCTCAAAATCCCTACCATCCTCATTCCAACCATCTACAAGAAAGATCCTTCTCAACAACAACAAGCTCGAAAACATCCCAAATGGTCTCTTTGACCGTCTTCCTGAGTTACGGGAAGTGCATTTGCAACAGAACCCCTGGCAATGTGACTGTAATATCCTATATTTGCGCAGCTGGCTGCAAGCGCAACAGAAAAGAGAACTGTACCGTGATGTTACCTGCTTTACCCCAGAGCAATTCAAGAGTAGAGTCATCATGTACCTGACTGAGGATGAACTGATGACCACCTGCCAATACTGGTACTGTAATTTGGCAATGGTCTCCCAACTGTGCCTTTTTATCTTTATTGCTGTTCAAGGAATCCTACTTATTTTTGTTATTCTTTCACTCCGCCGATTCCAGAGGATTGCCAGGGAGGCTCGGCGCACTGCCAAGGAACTACAGCAGAACTCAGAATCTTACGCCTACGATAATATTCCACTGTATAACTACGACAGAACAACATAAGGCAACACAAAAAGCATGATACAGGGAACTATGTCAAATCACTGTGCTTTTTGTACAGATAATGTTCAGCATAATAAAAAATATAGGGTAGGTCTAATGTATTTAATAGGGCAGTCCAAGCACTATAACCACTAAAGCCCACTGTAATGGTTATGATCCCACATGGCTCTGTCCTGCTGTTATGTGTTAAACTGTTTGCAAGTAGTCCAAAACCTGCCTTTCTGCCCCCAGCTGCCTAAATTGCTAACACAGAATATACACTTTTGTTTTAGCAATATCAAATCCATCCATATTTGTATGTCACCGATTAGCTGAACATATCAGCTAACACTCTCAGCATATTGCTGCCAATAAGATACAATGACATTGGTATTGGTTATGTGGAAACCATTGGTTTGTGTCAAAAGGTTAAAAAATAGTTTGACACAGCCTGCTAGCACCATAACTATCTCAATGAGCTGTAATTGTTGTGGAGCTTAGACTGCCTCTTTAAAAAAATTTAAAAATATCCAACATTATATATATGTGAAAAATGCACAAAAAAAGTGAAGAGCAAAGGATAGCTCTAAAGCTAGATGAATGAAGCCACACTTCATGAATGTGCTGGAATCAGGTAACACATGTGGCATATATATGAAAATGTCATATTCTTTTTTTATGTGAATACATGCCACATGGCTGGATGGTTGCTGCAGAACTTATGGTGACAATGGTTATGCAGATTTGTGTGCAGTCTATGACCAATGGAATCTCTAATCTGCTTGATTCCCATTGGTTGTACACAATGTTCTATTTATGTCTATTTTATATTGTGTGGAACTATAATATAATTAAAGGGACAGTTTAGGCACCATAACCACTTCATCTAAATTAAATTGTTATGGTGTCATGAGGCCCCCGGCGCACTCTTACCTCAAGGGCCTAGACAATTCTTGAACAGTTTAACCCCAAAATTGCGTCCAATGTGGCTGACGCTCTCAGCCAATGAGTGATTTCCCATTCACAAGACTTGCTTGAAAAAGGTACATTTCTTTCCAAGCCAGTTTTGTGAATAGCAAGTCACTGATTGACTGAGAGCGTCAGCGGACCACTCTTAGTCAATCAGCTGCACTATGCGATTCCTGAAACTGAAATTTCAGAAGCCGGATGCCACCTCCAACTGGGGTAGTTGAGAGCAGCGCTGGAGGCACCTTTGGGGTTAAACCATTCGAGAACGGTTTATTCCCTTGAGCGCCCAGTGGTTTCCTGGCACCATAGCAACTTTAATAAGATTAAGTTGTTATGGTACCTGGAATGTGCCTTTAAGGCTCAAATAGTGCTGCTTAATTGTCTCAAACCTTGCCTGAGGACATTCGATAATTATCTTTTCATAAAGTTTCAGCAAAACTGCTTTAGAACAGGATCACTAATAGTTATAAAACCATTAGACTCTAAAGAGCAATGTATAAAAAAAATAAAGGTACTGCAAGCTTGTTGTTAATAGATAACTGCTTTTTACACTGTATTTTAGTTTTTTACAATCTGGGAGATTTTTTTTAAAACTAAAAACATAGTTGATTTTTTCCAATTTAGCTAGTTTGAGTTAAAACCTTAAATTCACTTTGAATTCCCAACATTTCAATGTTGATTAACCAGCATAGTTTAATATAGTATCCAGCTAATACATAAGTTTGAAAATTTCGCATCTGATGCTCCATTTTTAAAACACTCTGCTGGATTCTCATTGATCTGAAAAATCAGACTGAAACCTCAATCTGTTCTGACTATCCCATATTACTTCCCCTCATTTCTCTCCTATGTTGCTCTAGATATCTGACATTCTTTAGGCCTAATCACCAGCTCTTTTCCTGCCAAGATGAAATTTGTCTGGAATCCATATTAAACCAGCCCATGTGATTGAAATGAAGGAACTGGTCCACAATTCTCTATATTTGCATTTTAATGCCAGTCGTCACAGTCAACACAAGGTATGCCACCACAAATAAAGCACTTACCCGTGTTTCCCCGAAAATAAGACCGGGTCTTATATTCATTTCCCCTCCCCCCCCCGAAAATGCACAAGGGCTTATTTTCGGGGGTGGTCTTATTTCGTGGAAAAACGTGTGGTAGAAAGCAGGTCTATGTTCAGGAGAATTCCTCCGAACATAGACCAATTCACTAGAGCATGGAATCCTGCAAATCTATGCTCGGGGAAACTTTCCCGAATATAGATTAGCTTACTCGCTAATAGAATACCGCAAATCTATTTTCGGGGAAACTTCCTCGAACATAGATTAGTTCACTTGCGAATGGAATCTTGCATATCTACATAGACAAACTTATTCCCGAATGGAATCTTGCGTATCTATGTTCGGTGAAACTTCCCCAAACATAGATAAGCTTACTTGCGAATGGAATTCCGCGAAACTATGCTCAGGAAAAATTCCCCAAACATAGATTAGCGAATGACTAGGGCTTATTTTCAGGGTAGGGCTTATATTAGGAGCATCCCCCCAAAATAGGCAAGGGCTTATTTTCGGGGATGTCTTATTTTCGTGGGAAACCCTGTCAAATGCATTTTATTCCCAAGGATAATTCCCAGACATGCTCCTGTCTTATGTACACTGAGTAGCTAAAAAAGTTCCTTCATTTAAGCAAATCATATGCTGGATTAAATTGATCTACATATTCAGCAGTATGGCAGGTTCTACCAGTTCATCAATATGGCAGGTTGACTAGAGCCAAGGAACAAATGACCACTTTCATGTGAAATTGTCAACCCTCTGGGGCCCACAACCTGCGACTGAATTATTATGGAATCCATATTCCCCTTAATAAGATGATGCACTTTCAAATATTCAATCTTGATTTAAATGTTAATCATAGAAAGCCACAATGTCATCTGATTTAATGGACTGGACATATTTTCCTGTTACTCTGATTGTGAATTATTTGCAGGAACATCAGTGTATCATCTTGAGATTCAACCAACGCTCGGTGTTCATTTTTTGTTGTATTGTTTTATCTTATTGTTGTATCTTCATGATGTCCCATAAACATGATCTGTTCCAAACCTCTTACAATAAATTACAAGTAGAATCTGCAATAATTCTTATTCAATACCGCTTTTCTAAAGGCTCCAAAGTCACTCAATATCCACTCACAAAGGTCCCAGGTTAAATTACCACTTGGTTCAGCAGTCAAATAAATCCTCCTGCCATGTAGGAATTTCTCTTTTAGGATCCTATGATATCCATGCTGCCTGTATTTAAAAATAAAATAAGAAAAACAATACATACCTTTAACATTTCCCTCTGTGCACTGTTTAACCAATCATGGAGTTACTCGTATCCCATAAACCCCTGCACAGCAGTATTTTATGGGAAATGTAGTTTATCCCTAAAAGCCGTTTCCCTCATCACACAGAATAAAAAAGTTAATTCTACAACCAAATAATGAGCCTCCCTGCACATGTAATATACATCATTTGGGTCACTGTCAAAAATTTTCAAAACTGTTGAAATGTAAAGTATGAATGCAAGGTTTATTTCGTAGGTAGCATTACTCTTGGACATTAGTTATTAATCCTTGTATTAAATTCTAGATTCAAATCTCCAGTTCACGGCCTGTGTTTTAAGTAATCCCTTTAGGTGGATGGATTAAAACTCATAACATTGAGAAAGATGAAGAGACATTACAGCACAAAATCTATAAACATTTCACCATTTCGATAATATAAAGAACAGCTGGAAATATCTCCAATTAAACGTTGACTAAAACTAAATTGAAATTTGCCGCCAAAATTAACACTGCACGGAAGAGGCAAAAGAGAACAGACTGGGGTTTGGGAGAGAGACACCTAGAGGGGCTGGGAGGACACAAGAGACACACAGAGGATGGGGAAAGGGCAAGAGAGACAGATAGAGGCTTTAACTAAAACCATTAGATTTTAGTCGAGTCGACTAAAATTTCCAGTATATTTAATCGACTAAAATCTACTGGAGATTTAGTCAACTAAAACTAGACTAAAAACTAAAACAATTCGGATGACTAAAATACCACTAAAACTAAAATGACTTTTTGGTCAAAAGACTATGACTAAAACGAAATTGAAATTTGCCGCCAAAATTAACACTGACTAATACAGCCTATCTGGCTCACAAGTTTTTACCTCCTTTGTTCGTATAAAGGATGTTCATTGTAAATGAAACCACTAGAGGGCACTAGAACATCATCGCCCTTGAAAGTTGTTAAGGAATACATTGGTTAATTCATTCTAACCATATGAGATGGAGGAGGTTGAATTTAATGTATAGAATAGATCAGTCAATTGTGAGGAAAATCCATACTTTATACATGCTGTCTCTTATGTAGTAATGCCTGTATAGGTAACTGTGTTCTGGAATTCATGTACATAAAAAGTGTGTGTATGACGATAAAAACATTATTGAATTTACTCCATATTTACAATTCTGGAGGATCCTACTGGAGTGTGTTATTCTTGCAGTTCATGGAAATTAAAAAAATGCCTTGCTGGACCTCCTAATGAGGAAACAAGAAGAAATCCTCTACCTGTAAAGATCATTGAAAAAAATATAAAAGACCCTGAGTATCAGATGGCAAATGGGAGGAAGGGGAAGACAGTCATATGTGTTTTGTACTTACTAGTATATCCTTTTAAAATCTCTATCAAAGTGCTAGTGTGTGACAAATGCTTTAACCCCTTAAGGACCAAACTTCTGGAATAAAAGGGAATCATGACATGTCACACGTGTCATGTGTCCTTAAGGGGTTAAGCTGTATTTAGCCATTGATGATTTCTTTATCAATGGTTCTAAATATTGTAAAGATTCATATTTTCCACTTTAACCCCTTCAGGACACATGCTCACCTTTTGCCTCTAAAGCTGTGTATTTAAGGGGTTCATATGACTTAATTTCTTCAGCAAGGTAGGGATGAAGTACTCTGTGTTCCCCTTTAACAATGTTAAAGAATATTGAAAAAAATGACATGCAGAGTTTCAATTTTAGGTCGCAATAAACTGGTAAAATAGCTGCATTGGAGAATTTATTAAATTCCTCTTCAGAAGTTTAGCGAAAAATCACGAATATGTTTCTTAACATTTCATTACTAGTTAGTTCTAAAAACTCTTAGGTACGTTGTCTGCACTTATTATTAGCATTTATATACTGCACAAATTCTGCAATGCTTTACGATTATACAGCAGGGATATATAAAAGTTAGTAACTGACAGACAACATTTTTACAGATGTAAGGGGTGAACAGGGCACTACTCAAAAGTGCTTGTAATCTAAAGGCTAATTATAAAAAATATACATATATATTATATGATGCCTGAAATATTTTTTTACCAAAAAGATATATTAGTAAAAAAAAAAAAAAGAAAAAATAACTACTTTACATTCATTAAACTTAACAAATTGACTTTGATGTCTCCCATTGATATTTCTGATTGGTTGCCTATTGCGCTAATGGAAGGAACCTCAATGCAGTTGTAATATGTGACGTTATTATTATTATTATTATGTTATTTATATAGCGCCATCAAATTCCACTGCGCTTTACAATGGGTGGATGAACAGACCATAGGCGTGCGCAGCCTATTGCATTAGGGTGTGCACCCTAAAGTACAAGCACACGCCGCGTATATATATGTATAAGCAAACCAGTAACCAACCTCATGCTGAAGAGTTGCATTAACAACGAAACAGCTGTCCATGAGTGGTTCACTGGTTTTGCATCTTATCCTAAATTGTGTTCCAAGCAGTTGTATACTGCAAACACAAATTAAAAGGAATCCATGTTTAAAATGGAATGAGGCAAAAATGTGATTCTTTGTTAAACTAATTTGCATATGCCCACCCAGAATCCTTTGCGGTTGTAACATCACTGCTGATTTGGGATTTCTGTGGGAAAAGCAAGTCTTATGGCTTGACTGGTGTGCAGATTTTTGTTTAGCATTGTATTAACTATCCACATACTTCAGGTGGAAGGGGTTTTCAATCACAATTTTTCCCCACCATAACCTATTTAGATTTTGCTTCCCAAGCACTACCAAGCCTCAATAAGCAAACCAGTAACCAACCTCATGCTGAAGAGTTGCATTAACAACGAAACAGCTGTCCATGAGTGGTTCACTGGTTTTGCATCTTATCCTAAATTGTGTTCCAAGCAGTTGTATACTGCAAACACAAATGAAAAGGAATCCATGTTTAAAATGGAATGAGGCAAAAATGTGATTCTTTGTTAAACTAATTTGCATATGCCCACCCAGAATCCTTTGCTTGGTTGTAACATCACTGCTGATTTGGGATTTCTGTGGGAAAGGCAAGTCTTATGGCTTGACTGGTGTGCAGATTTTTGTTTAGCATTGTATTAACTATATATATATATATATACACATATATACACACACACACATACACTGCTGTGTGTGTGTGCTGTGTGAGGGTGCTGGTAGTGTGCTATGTGGGTGAGGTGCTGGTGCTGTGTATGTGTGTGGGTGCTGTATGTGTGTAGGTGCTGTGTATGTCTGTGGGTGCTGTATGTGTGTGGGTGCTGTATGTGTGCTGTATGCATGTAGGTGCTGTGTATGTCTGTGGGTGCTGTATGTCTGTGGGTGCTGTATGTGTGCAGGTGCTGTGTATGTCTGTGGGTGCTGTATGTGTGTGGGTACATTACTTAATATCCCCCCTCCCTTCTTACTTTATGTAGGGAGGGGGGATTCTTGTTCCTTGCTGCCTTCCCTGGTGGTCCAGCCTGCGGGACTAGAGTTCACTCTCACGAGATCTGAGCGTTGCCATGGCAACGCTCAGATCTCGCGCGAGGAACCCCAGCAGAGCTGCCGGCAATAGCTCCCCGGGTCCTCTCCTGCCTCCCTACCGGTATGTATGTGTATGTATGTCTTTATGTCTGTATGTATGTGTATGTCTGTATGTCTGTCTGTATGCATGTATGTCTGTCTGTATGTATGTCTGTCTGCCTGCATGCATGTATGTCTATGTATGTATGTATGTCTGTGTATGTATGTATGTCTGTCTGTCTGCCTACATGCATGTATGTCTATATGTATGTATGTCTGTGTATGTATGTCTGTCTGCATGCATGTATGTCTATGTATGTCTGTCTGTCTGTATGTATGTGTATGTATATATGCATGCATGTATGTCTGTATGTCTGTCTGTATGTATGTCTGTATGTGTATGTATGTGTATGTATGTCTGTATGTATGCATGTCTGTTTGCATGTCTGTATGCATGTATGTCTATGTATGTCTGTCTGTCTGTATGCATGTATGTCTATGTATGTCTGTCTGTCTGCATGCATGTATGTCTATGTCTGTCTGTCTGTATGTATGTGTATGTATGTATGCATGCATGTATGTCTGTATGTCTGTCTGTATGTATGTCTGTATGTCTATGTCTGTCTGTATGTCTGTATGCATGTATGTCTGTCTGTGTATGTATGTCTGTCTGTGTGTATGTATGTATGTCTGAATGCATGTATGTCTGTCTGTATGTATGTATCTATGCCTATGTATGTCTGTCTGTCTGTATGTATGCATGTATGTCTATGTATGTATGTCTGTCTGTTTATGTATGTATGTCTGTCTGTATGTATGTATGTCTGTATGCATGTATGTCTATGTATGTATGTCTATGTATGTATGTCTCTATGCATGCATGTCTGTGTGTATGTCTATGTATGTCTGTCTGACTGTATGCATGCATGTATGTATGTATGTCTGTCTGTATGTATGTCTGTGTATGTGTGTATGTATGTATGTCTGTATGTATGCATGCATGTATTTCTATGGATGTATATATGTATGTAAGTCTGTATGCATGTATGTCTGTCTGTATGCATGTCTATGTATGTATATACGTATGTCTGTATGTCATTATATATGTATGTCTGTATGTCAGTATGAATGTATGTCTGCATATCATTATGCACATATGTCTGTGTGTATGTGTGTATGGATGTCTGTATGCCATTATGAATGTATGTGTGTATGGATGTCAGTATCTGTATGTCTGTCAGTATGTCTGTATGTATGAATGTATGTGTGTGTGTATGTATGTATGTCGGTGTCTGTATGTATGTGTCTTTATGTCCTCATGCATGTGTGTATGTATGTTAGTATGTGTCTGTCTGTCACTATGTATGCCTGTATGTCTGTTTCAGTATGTGTGTCTGTTAGTATGTATCTGTGTCCTTTTGTATCAGTGTGTGTGTTTGTGTCTGTGTGTGTATTCCTGTGGGCGGTATTTGGAGGCGGGCCCCAGGGGGCCCAGACCCTGAGCTGAGTTAGGGGCCCCAAAATTTCTGGTGGTGGCCCTGTGTGTGTGTGTGTAAGGAATTCGTTGTGTGAATCTGTGTTTGTATGTGTAAGGGATGTAAGGTATCCTTCTATGTAATGTAGTGCAGTGTGTGTGCCTGTAAGGGGTGCATTGAGTGTGTGTAAGAGATGCATTAAGAGAAGCAGTGTGTGTGTGTGTGTGTGTAAGGGATGCATTGTGTGCTTTTGTGTATTTGTGCTGCATTATGTGTTGGTGTTTGTGAGGTATGTATTGTGTGTGTAAGGGATGCATTGTGTGTGTGTGTAATGGATGCGTTGTGTGTTTCTGTGTGTGTAAGGAAAGAATGGTGTGGTTCTGTGTGAATGCAGGATGCATTGTATGTTTCAGTGTGTGTATGTTAGTAGCGATGCATTCTGTGCATGTGTTTTTCTGTGTATGTGTAAGGATGCATTGTGTATGCAGGGCCGTCTATAATATGAATAGGACCCCGG